GCAGTGTGTCCGCTGCTCCCAGGCCCGGCGCCAGGTGCTCCCAAATGCACAGGGAAAGCTGAAGGTTGAGGATGAGGCTGAATGCTCCCCTGAGCAGGGGCTCCAGAGTCTCAGGCCGCCCTGTCCCTTCCCAGGGAGTCGCCCCAGCCCTGCGCCTGTGGGGTGAGCGCGACCCTCACCTGTGCAGCAGCCTGTGTTATGCATCGTGCTGGGTCCAGGAGGACCCAGGAGGCCTTTGCAAGGGCTGCTCCCTCCCGGGAGAGCTAGACAGAGCTCCACAGCACTCTCCTGGGCCAAGCCAGGGGCCACAGACACTGGAAGCCCGCAGTCCTGCCTGCTCCATTCTCCAGGCCCTTCCTGTTGCTGACTTCTGTGGTTTCAAGAGGACCCATTTATGTGTTCCTGGCTACACATATGTCCCATCTTAAGACTCATATTTTATTCTAAATTTTTTAGCACAGAGGATTGAACCCAAGGCCTTCACATTGAGCTACATCCCCAGCTGTTCATTGTTTGCATTTTGAGACACTGTCTCACTGAGTTGCTAAATTGCCCCAAAGCGGGCTTGAACTTGCGATCCTCAGGCTCCCAGAATGCTGAGATTACAGACATGGGCCAGCACACCCGGCTTCTGCCTTATGAATCTTAGGCATCTGTGGCAGTTGGTTCCCTAGCCATCTGTAGCCGTGGTCACACAGCCCTCAGTGTCCTATTGATGAGAAAATGATTGTTCTTGTGCCTCTGCTCTCTGTCCGTTGTCACAGGTTTGCACTGGCAGACCTCGCTTTTCACTCACCCCACACCGCAAGCCCTCTCCAAACCTGACTGCTGTCTGCGCGTGACCTCACACACACACCCTCCGAGTTGCTTTGCTCATCGGTACAGTGGAACCCTAAGAACTGACAAGCAGATACCCCACCTGCCCCAAAGACCCGGTCAGCAGCGCTCATGCCGGCCACAGATTTCCCAGGGCTCCAGGGAACAGGCTCCAGGGCCCCCTGGTCCACTCCTACCCCTCCCCCAGGGCCAGACTCTGAGGGGGGGCGCCTCAGTGTCCACAGGAGTGAGCCCTGCTGGAGGTCAGGGTGTCCCAATCCCAAGTCCCCCTGCCCTGTGCTCTGTGAGGTCCAGCTCTGTAAACAGCTCTACACCGGCAGGAATGCACCACGGCCTGTGGGTCCTGTGAAAGTGACTCCTCGAGAATGTAGAAGTGGGGTGCACACCTCATGGCGGTGCTCCCCAGACCTGCTCCCTGTCAAGTGACACATGGCCCTCAGAGTCCCTGGGGACCTGGCCTCTGTGTCCATGTGAAGACAGAAATGCACGCCTCACACCCTCGTCCTGACCCCGGTCACCTGTCCTGGACCCTGAGGGCCCTGGCTCAGCCACCCCACCACCAGGACTGCTCCATGACATCTCAGCACTGCCACCTCCCTACCTTGCTTCCCTCCTCCCCACCATCACTGTCCACCTCTCTGCCTGGCTCTGCTGGTGCCCAGACTCAGGACTGTGTGGCAAGCTGGGCGCCACCCCTCAGGGCCTCCTGGGTCACCATCATCCCTGACACTTGGAGGGTCCCCAGCCCGCCGCCATCCTCAAGCTAGGTCCCTCTGAGATACCCATGTGGGGTGCACTACCGGTGTCTCGAGCAAGGCTATACACACACTGGGCACGTGACCGGGGCAGCAGACACCAAGACCAAAGAAACCTACAGTTCTGTAAGATCCAAGGCCAAAACAAGTCACCATCATTAGCAAATGCACTGTCACCGCCCCTGGGCTGGGGCGAGGCTGGAGAGAGGCAGGAACAGCAGGGAGAAACAGGCACCAATAAAACAGGCAATAAACGGCGGGCGGCGAGAGAACTTGTTTCTGTGTTGTTCCAAAACCTTGTTTAAGTGCTTTTATTGTTTCTGTGTGAGAGAGCACAAATGCTTCTCTGAAAACTGCTCTAGCGGAGCCTCCTCTTCTGCAGGAAATCTTCCCGCTCCCCCTTCCCACCCTGGAAGTCCTGGTCCCCACGGTGTCCACAGTCGTCTCTGCCCGCCCCCCAGAATATCCCCTGGGACCTGCCGCCCCTAAAACTGTGCACTGTCCCTCCATGCTGGCCACATAGCAGGCACGAGGTGACACCAGCCAGCTGGGCTGTCGGGGGTAGCAGGGAGGCAGCTTAGCAGCAGCAAGGAAGCCCAGCAGGTTGCTGAGTGAATCTTGGTAGGACAGACATTGTTTTTTCATTGTTGTTTTGGTGTGTGTGGGGGTGAGCAGGTGTGTAGGGTGGGTGTGGGTGTGCACACACACACACACACATATGCATATTTTTTAAGATAGGATTTCAATAGGTAGTTTAGGCTGGTCTTGAACTCACAGTGATCCTCCTGCCTCAGCCTGTGGAATGCTGGGATTACAGGCCTGCACCACAGCACCTGGCTTAGACAAAATTTTTACTAGAAAAAAGTGTTCATTGCACCAGAGAATCAGTCAGTCAATAAAAGCATAAAAGCAGAAGACACAGGATTCTTGTGCAAGGGCTGGAAGCTGGTAACTTACCCTCAGGTAGCCCAAGACACCTGTTCAGAGTTTTGTCCTACATTAAAACAGGGGACAGCAGAGAGAAGACCCAACACAAGGTAACCCAGTTGGGGGCTAGGTTAAAGCCTGAGAGCCTCACACTTCTATCTAGAGGAGGGGCTGTCTGTGGAAGGAGAGGCTGCGGGGCCCTTGGTGATAGGCCTTGGGGGCTACGGGCCAGTTGGCCCTGAAGACAGGAAGCCTTAGCTAGGAGCACCCAGGCCCTGGCCAGGCAGAAGGAAGGGGGACACCACGCCTGTTCCCTGTGTCTGCGCCCCTTTCCCACCTGCAGTGGCTGGGGGTCAGGCAAAGCCCGTGTCCTCCCAGCAACCAGGATCTTGCATGTCTGTGCTGGTAATATGGTCTCTACGGTGCACTTTTTACAAACAGATTGTTATGCACCACAAGGAGAATCATAAACAGTGCCTCATAAATCTCCTTAAGGAGGGCTCTTAACCAGGACCCCTCAAGCGTTACTTCTCCCCATTTTACAGATGAGCAAACCAAGTCCCAGGGAGGTTTAGTCATCACCCATGTCTTCCAGCTGGCCCACTGAGCATCTCTGCCCTGTTTATGATTCTGCCTGCTAATTACAAAGCTCAAAATCTCAAGAGTTCATTATAAAAGAGAAAGATGAATTACTTCTTAGATTTATATTTAACCTGAAAACTTGACAGAATTATTTACTATTTTAAAAGTAACAAGTGAGAATTTCTGGGTGTACACAGCAAGAGCCATCTGACCTCTCTGGGCTGAAGGTCAGACCCATCCCAGGAGGGCTGAACCCACATAGCTCTGAGTTGCATCCACTCTGCTCTGGAACTGTTTCCTGACTCATGTCACAGAGAGATCTGTTCCAGTCGTGTCTCTTTCAACTTAGCATGAATGTGGTGATGGTGACCTGTGACTCCAGTACTCAGGAGGCTGAGGCAGGAGGATCACTGAGAGTTGGAGGCCAGCTTGGACTACATAGTGGGTTCAAGGCCAGCCTAAACTACATAGCATAATAATAATAATAATAATTTAGTGTGAACAGTACCACTCACAGCTGCCAGACTTAGAGAACAAGAATAAGGAAACCTGGGAGGCTCAGGCAGGAGAACTATTTGCAAGTTGGAGACCAGCCTGGGCCACAAAGTGAGCCCAAAGCCAACCTGAACTATATAGTGAGACCCTGTCTCAAAATAAGTAAATAAATAAAAGAATAAAAGATATCCAACTAAATTCAGATTTTAAACAATGGCTGTTTTTGAAGTATAAGGAGGTACCATGCAATCTTTGGATGAATTACAGCATTTTAAAAAGTACTTCTGGTAGCGTCTGCTGTGCCTTAGCTGAGGCTGCTATCACCAAATAACCACGCACTGAAGCTGTATCAACAGGTGCTTACGGCACTCGGTTCAGGAGGCCAGCAGGGCCGAGGCAGATTCGGGTCCTGATGAAATCTCGCTTCCTGCATGGCTGACGGACACTCTCACTGTGTCTCCTGGCCTTCCCTGATGCTGCCCGAGAGGACTCTGTGTCTTTCCCATCATCAGGCCCCAACCTCGTGTCCCCATATTGACCATAACCACTTCTGTTGCCGTGGGGTGGGTGCGGCTCCAACGTCCAGCTCTAGAGGCAGCAGTGCTTTGGCTCATCACACAGGGTGCCCGGAAGTCGCTGCCTGTCCTGTGCTTTTTACTGGGGGAGCCTACGAGCACAGCCCGAGACTGGGCAATCAGAAGGACCAATCCACTACAGGCAAGAAGAAATATACAATCACACGGCTCAAGGTCACCACAAATCATCTTGGGGTTTCACATGGTGACCCAAAAAGCGACACATACATGCACCACAATTTCTCATGGCTTGAACACTGAAAATGCCATGTGACTGTGTAGCCCTTAGATTTTTTTTTTCTTTACTCCTGGATTTTGTGGATAAATCCATCCCTCTCTAGCACAGTGGGACACAAAGCACAGTCCCAGACCCGTGTCCAGAAGCCCACGGTCTAAGGTTGCTTCTGGTCTGCTGGCGGGTTGGGCAGTGACTTAACCTCCCTAGGCTGTTATCCTCATCAACAGCGCATCAGGCTGAGCTCCTGGAGCCTCTGCCTCTCCGCTCCGTCCTTTGTATAGTTAGTTGCATGACTGATCGCCAGCACCAGTAGGAGCACTGCTCCAACTCTCTCCCAAGCTGGCAGCAGAAATGCACCTCTCTTCTTGACAATGGCTGCACCCCAGAACCAGGCTCCATTTAGGCCTCTGGACATCATCATGCTTGGGCAAACATGATCTTTTGTCTTTATTTATTTCTTTTTTTCCACTTGGGGCTCAACTGTCCCTACTGATCCCCTGTGCTGTGAAAAGGAACTAAATGGGCAATAGGGAATTGATGAGCTGAGAAAACCCTGCTCCAGTAAATCAACCAGATCTCTTTCCAACCAGAATATTCTGAGCCCAGACAATGGCCCATTTATTTCAAGCTATATTCAAAAACAAAAGAATCCTGGGTCAACAAAGGGATTCTCCAGGTCCTCAGAATTGATTGCAAAGGGATTTAAGTGCTATTTAATGACAGATTCCAGGTAGGCGGGAGGAGATAAACAAATCTAAAATGATACCCAGGAAAGGCTGTGACCTCCTGAGGGGCTTGTCCTTCTGATGACAGCTGAGACAGAAGCCCCCCAGGCCCTGCCTAGAGACATGTGGGTAAATATTTGGGCAGTACTGGTTGCCACTGCAATAGTGACAGAGCTGGGGACCAGAGGAAATGGCCCCTGGCTTCCAGCCCCGTGATATCCATGGTTATAAACATCCAGGCAGGCAGACACGAAAGGCTCTGGGTCTCTGCAAATACATCTCATTTTCCACGGTCACCAGAGTCCAGGCTCCTAGAATGGGTGGCAAAAGAGGCAGGAAACAGAGGTCAGGGAGGAGTCTGGAGCCAGCTTCTAAATTTAACAGGCAGTGGCTTTTAGGCCGAGTAGATAAAAAATAAATTCCAGCGCTCAGAGCTCTTATCTTTGTTTACCATTTCCCAAACAGTGAGCGAGCTGCACTGTGACTTCTTGGACTCTAGGCTGTGTTATCAACGAGATACACCCTAGAAGGAGGGGTGGATGTGGGCGGGCCAGGGCTACATGGAGTGGGTAAGCCACTGTCCATCCACTTCCCATGACATTTGCTCAGTCTGGCAGTGTCCGGGATTCGCCGAGATCACTAGGCTGCCCCTGGGTGGATGGGGAGCAGCTATGATACGGCAGACCAACTCGAAGCCAGAAGGCACTTTGGGGTCAGCCTTGTCACAGGCCCACTGAGAGGGCTCTGTTCATACCCTTCAGCAACCTTTCCAGGTTGCTGGTGGTGGTGCTCACCACCTTCAAAAATCTCCAGTGGGCAGGGCTCACCTTTATAGGCCTAAATTGTAGCTGCTTGGAAATCCTTTCCAGAGCTGAGTCAGTCTCTCTAGGCTCCACCATCACTTGCTCCTACCCTCCGTGGTGACATGGAGGTGCACAGTCACCTGCTGCCCTGAAGATGTGTGAACAGGGCCATCCTGGGCGTTGGGCTGCTCGCCTTTGAATCCCAGGCTTTCTCTACTCCCTCCCCCAGAGGATGGATGGCACTTGGCTTCCCAGCCCTGTGTCCCTACTCCTGTGCAGGAAGTGACCAAGATGTTGCCCAGGGTCCCTCGCTTTCCAGTGGCCCAGTTGTTCTTTCCTGCACACCACCAAAGGGTCAGTACTGGTCTCTGTGCTCATTCTTACTCCCATCCCTGAGGACTTGGCTGCCTCTGCACGGCCAAGGTCTTCCCACTTGTAGGTAGAAGCCACTGTGCCCAAGGGAATGAAGCCCGGGAACACTTTCCTCTCTTCCATTCCTTGACCCTTTTACCCCAATTCTCGCCCTGGTGACTCTCCCTTTATAGAAATCACTCTGGCAGCTAGACTACGCGTGGAATCCCTTGGGGACCCTTGACAACAACACCCATTGCTGCACTCAGTCCAGACCAAGCACACCTGAGTGTCCTGGGCTCCGGGTCACAGTGGAGGCTCCCAGCCCGAGCTGCTGAAAGGGAGCTCACCATGTTTCCTGAGGCCACTGCAATAACTTTACATCTCACGGGCCTGTTCCCCGATTGCTCCTCCTACCATTCCACGAGTCACTGTCAGATCACAAAACAACCCCACTGTCATTCTTCATCAGACCCCTTCGGTGTCTCTACCTTCTAACAGATCTTTGAATGAACAGTGAGATGACTTCCCAAATACACAAGAAGTGCTATACACGCTATGGTTGGATCTTGTCTGTCCTCCACCCCCAAAATCCTGCCTGGCTCTGTCTGTCTGTAGAGTGAGTAAAAATATTTTCCGCAAATTAAATGCAGTCCACTCCTGCCCCAGTGCAGGGAACATTTGCAGGGGTTTAATCATCATTTACTTAGGGGCTGGTTTCTCTTAGCATCAAACACGGTCACCTGTGAATGACCCGTGCTAATTCAGACAGCAGAGCCCTAAATATTACAGAGCAGCAGATAATTCAAAGACTTGAATCTATTTGATGCCAAAATGCATTTTTGCTTATGAGAGCTTGCATCTGGTAATTAGGACAATTTTTTAAAACTAGGTAATTAGATGTGTCTTATTTGTTCCTACCCTACACTATAGGAATAAATAACTCAGCTCCCAAAATAAAGCTCTGTTTCTTTCTCTTAACCCTTTCCTGAACAGAGAGAATGGCTAGATTTCATAACAGAGGAGAGGCAGGGAGAAGAGGGGAGCCCATGGTTAGAGGAAATGAAACTAGAATGCTGATGCACTGCTCTCTAACTGATCCACCCCAATTCTGGGCTGCATGAACGATTACTTTGTAAACTATTCAGAGTATCTGCTAAAGCTGAGCACAGATAGGCAGGAGGATAGAAAGTCCGAGAACGGCCTGGGTCATTTTTGGAGGCCCTGTGTCTTAGTCATTTTCTTATCACAGTGTACAACACCCAGCACCATACACTAAAGGAGGGAAGGCTTATGTGGGCCAATGGGTTTAGAGTTCTCAGTCCATGGCCGCCTCCAGGGGATCAATGGCATGAGGAAGGGGCCTGGGCGGAGGAAAGCTGCTCGCCTCATGGTGGCCAGGAAGCTGGGAGTGAAGGGAGAACCCCCTCTTCTCACTGCTTCTACCAGCACACTCTGCTGTGAGCTCACCAGGGGGTGAATTCACCCATGCGTAGAGGGCCCCCGATCTACCGATCCAGTCCCCGTCTGAAGCCCTGTCTCTGAACCCAGGAGGCTTCAGGAGATACATTCTCCGTCTAAACCATAACGCCCGTCTCAAAAGGAAAAGAACAAGAGAAAGCAGGGTGCCGTGGCACACACCCATAATCCCACACCTATGACCACTTGCTGAGACCGAGGCAAGAGGGTTTCAGATTGGAATTTAGCCTGAATCATTTTGCAATACCTTGTCTCAAAACTAAAAAAGGGCTGGGGAAGTGGCCCAGTGCAAGGGGCTTAGGTTCAATCCCCTGCAGAGAGAAAAGGAAGGAATGGAGAAAGGGAGGGAGGGAGGAAGGGAAGGGAAGAGTATCCCTATCAGCTTCCCTAGCAAAGGCCCAAACTAGGAGCAGTGATGCATTTGAAAAGATGACTGAAGAGCCCCACGCTAGGAGCACAGTCACACGTGAGCACCGCAGCTGAACACACTGCCACGACCACAGCTTGGGTGAGTCCCACACGTGTGGGCGGAGAGAGCAGACAAGGAGGCTGCCTACGGACAGTCCAGTGATGCAGTGTGCAAGGGGAACGGGCAGAGCCTTCTCTCTTCCAACTGGGGTTGTCCCAGGAAAGGGCAGCGGGTTACCTCAGAGTTCTGGGGTGTCCTGTGTCTCTGTCTGGCTGCTGGCACGAGGAGGTGCTTACTTTGTGGAAACTCCTGAGCCCTACCCTTCTGTTGGTACTGCAAGTCTCTGGATGTCTACTATCGTTTCATAAGACACAGAAGAGGCAAGAAAAGAAGAAAGTGAAGGGGCAGAAGCAAAGGAGGTGAGGCCCGGGGAGTGGGGTACTGAGGAACAGGCTTGGAGTCTGCAGACCTGGACAGACCATTTGACCTCTGAACGGCTGGGGTTCATTTTCACTTGTCAAGAGACCCAAGGGTTACACTACCTCCTTCGCAGTGTGGCTGGAGGACCAGCAGCACAGTGATCCATCGGATGGAGTCCTCTTACCATTACTGAAGACAGGAACCATGCAGAGGGTTAGCAGGATCTGTAAGCTCAGCCGTGTGCACCGGTGCATGCAGGCGGGTTGCTCTATGTGCTTTCCTCATCCCCCCCACCTAATCCCTTCACAGCCAGGAGCACCCGGGTAATCCCTGTGTTTGTGCGAGGTGGCTTCTGTCTCTCTGCTTTTGCAGTTGATATAAACAGGTACTTTGTACACTCTCCTAATTGTTTTAAGATATGGATGTGTTTCTAAGTGTAAATCTGTCAAATTTTTTCAACTTGCATGTAGGACTTTCTGAGCATGGCTAGTGAGGTCCATGGGAGACTCCTCCCCCCACTCAGTTGGCACCCCACATCAAGACTAAAACAGCTCCCCAGACTGCACAGATTTCATGTGGCGGAGCTATAGAAACTCAAAAGCAAACTGTCACAGCCGAGGACCTCAGAGCGCTGGCTGGGGAACAGGCCAGTGAGACCAGGCCTGCTTCAGGCCTCATGCTGAGAGCTCAGGGCTCGCCCTGAACATGGGCTGCAGGGCTGGGGCTTTGCTGTCCTGTTTGGGCAAAGCTAGGATCACTGCATTTCCAAGGTTTGATATTAGAGTCTGAGGGTCCCTGGCTTTTCAGAGCGCACAAATCCTCTTTCTGTATGTGGCTGAATCACCCCTGCCTATCCTCGGCTGAAGGGACTTCCAGTCCCCTGCTGCAAGGCTGGCAGGGTACAGAGAGCCCTTGTAAGTGCTACTGGATGTTGCTGTGGCTCCTTCTCTGGAAGAGCCATGCTGAAGCCACCCCACTTCTAAGTCCTTTGGCAAAAATAAGGAAATGTTCATTTTTCTCTTGGGTCCCTGATTATCTAGGAAAAATGTTTATGAAAGCAATGACATTTTATTTTCTTTTCCTCATCTATACTCAAAATCATATATGCACACACACCTAGTGTGTGCTATTGTATGTATTTATATGTCTCGCATTTAGAGAAAATGATACAAAGTCTAACCACAGAAAAGCAAGTGCCTTAGTTACTTCTCTCTCATTGCTGGAACTAAATACCTAATCCCCCCAAGTTAAAGGGGGAAAGATTTATTTGGTTCACAGTTTGTAGAGGTCTCAGTTCATCATTGGCTGGCTCTAGGGAGGGTGATGTGGCAGAAGAGAAACAGTTCATAGCAGGCAGAAGGTAGGAGAGCAATGAGGAATGACCACAGTTCTTTTCATCTCTTCTATCTCATCCAGGGTACTTAGGACGGGTAGCACACACAGCCTCAAGTCTAGCTCCCTGGACCCTAGCATTGCATCATGAGTAATCCCAGCATCACACACCCTAGATCCAGTCACCTCTGAAAAAGTCCCACCTATGACCGTATGAGCCAATGGGGGGGGGGGCGGCATTCAGACACAAGCCATAACAGCAAAATTAAAACGAGAGGGTGGTATTACTTTCCACTTAAAAAGCTTTGTCAAATAGATTTCCCATAGGGTTCTCTAACCATCAGTTTATCTACTACATTTCAATACTGGTTTACAGATCTCACACTATATAATACAACACCAGGGGACTGAGGACCTTAAAAATAACAGTATAAATTTCTGCCCATTAAGGATCAAATAGAAATGAAAGTCATCCTAAAAACTAAGAAACTAAAAAAAAACTAGTTTAGAATGTAAACCAGCAAGGATTCCACTTATTTATTTCCATTTTTCTCAATATTTTATTTCCAATTTTCTAAAAGCACAGTTATTATTTCATAAAATAAGTCCCATCTGAAATGAATTTAATAGAACTCAGCTAAGACTCACTGTCTAATATATCCTTGTAGAACCATTTAAACTTTTTTTCCTGGTACCAGAGCTTGAACCCAGGATCTCTGCACCAAGCTACCCCCCAGGTCTTTATATTTTTTATTTTGAGATAAGGTCTCACTAAATTGCCCAGGCAGGCCTTGAACTTGCAATCCTCCTGCTTCAGCCTTCCTCAGTGCTGGGATTATAAGCATCACCACCTCACCCAGTTCTTTGTAGAGAGATTTAAAACAGAGAACAGAACACCTCATGAGAAAGGGCCTCCAGCTGCTGAACGTGTCCCAAGAGAGTGTCACTGCCTGTCAGGACCCCACATCTCCACAGTCTTCTTAACCCTCCCCTGAGAGAGGGGTGGTCACCATCATTCACAGTTGCCCTAGCAACTAACCCAGGGCTCCAGATGATGGTCTGTCTGTCCTGACTGGACCTGCCCTCCCTGGCAGGACCAAGGGTAATGCCCCGACACCAGGACATGGGACACAGGACAGGGAGCAGCCTGGACCTCTCGTCTTCCTGGCAGGTTGCAGCAGACACTGCTTCTATTTAAACAGGTGGGGGTGGGGGTGGATATAGCTCAGTGGCACAGCGCCTGCCTGGCAAGCATGAGGTCCTGAGTTCAATTCCCAGTACCAAAAAAAAGAATAAACAAACAAATATGCAGAGGGAGCCCAGACCCTTTTGTCCCAAAGATAGGACACTACTCCTCCCCCGTCCCTTTCTCTCTCTCTCTCTCTCTCTCTCTCTCTCTCTCTCTATCTCTCTCCAGGACTGGGAATTGAACCCAGGGTGTGCTTTTTAATTTATTTTGTTTTTCATTTCTTTGAGACCGATTGTCAAGCTGAGGCAGAACTTGTGATTCTCCTGCCTCGGCCTCCCTCACCCTGCTAGGATTAAAGTATTGCCCACCACAGCCTGTGAGGGCAGGCACTTTCTTCAGGAAGCTTCACTTCCTCCTCCCTGTTCATTCAAGATGATTCCTGCCCATCCCTCACTTTTTGCTAGCATTTCTGGATGCCAAAGAAAATCATGTAGCACCCTGGCCACCTGTTCAGTTTCAGGCCTCCCCCATGGCCACCTAATGTTCTCAAACAGCAGCCAAAAGTGCTGCCTGGAAAGGACGCCTTCCTGTCCCCTGGGCCAGGCCAGTGGGGGCTCAGGTCACAGTGTCACATGTCTCGCTGGAGCAGCCTGGCAGAGCCATTTTTAATTCTTCCCACACATCCCCAAGGTCCCCAGCCCATTCACTGTTGTTACTTAAATTTTTATTTAGTGTTTTTTCCTTTTATCATGCGAAGTCCTGACACAGAAATTAGAAGGACATTGCAGTGGCTCCTGAATCCTTCGGACTGTCATCATCTCCACAGGAACCAGCTCTGGCCACGTCAGCATCACCGCGTCTGCATCTCTCCTCCGATTTCTTGCTTCTTTTGCTTTTCATCCCATACATCATATGTCATCTGTAACTATTTCAGTACATTGCTCTTAAAAATGAGAGCTGCTCTAAAACATGACCACAATGATAACATCCCACTGAAACCAAACAGGCGCTAACTTCTTACAAGTATCAGCTATCCAGTGGGGTTCGAAATTCCCTGGTTGATAGGAATTCATTTCACACTGGCCGTCGAACCACCATCCACCCACTTTTTGCCATCAAGTTCCCAGGGTAGACCGGGGGACCCTTTGGTGGACTGCGGGTCCCCAGTGTCTGGGATGAGTGTCTTTCGTGGCCTCCCTTCCTGCCCACATCCTGCTAGGCCGGGGCTCCAGGGCCGGGAGCCCCAGGATGCGACCCCGCGTCCCCTCCCTAACGCAGGGCCAGCCTGGCGGGCGGAGTGCAGGAGCCGCCAAGTCTCCGGCAGGAGAGGAAAGCCCCCCCCCCCCAGCTGCGCACGCCCCGCCCGCGCTGACACAAGGATTCCGGCGGGGTGGGGGGCGGCTTCGTGGTGCTTGGTTCCCCGTGAGAAAATGACTCAGAGGACGATCTCTGCCGGGCACTCTGTTTTCTGTCTTCAGCATGCAGAGTGCGGACGCCGGGGTTTCCGAGGTCTGCGGGCTGGGGACCCCTCATTTGCCGTGCGCTTGCTGCCCCCTGCTGGCAGCCTCGCTTCGGAGCCCTGTGGCCCCGGGTCCTGCAGTCTGCAGGGAACCTAAGGGGACAGGGTTTGGACCCTGTGCCCCACTGAGTGAGATGGCACTTGGGGGACGCCCCGTGCCGGTCAGGCCAGCCGTCGCGCCCCGAGGAGCAGGGCCAGCGCCTGTGTGAACGAGCAGCGCTGCCCAGGGATGCTGGACCCAAAGGGGTGGAACCGCAAAGGCAGACCCGGGAAGGAAGGGAGAGAGGGAGGTAGGGAGGGAGGGAGGGAGGGAGGAAGGAAGGAAGGAAGGAAGGAAGGAAGGAAGGAAGGAAGGAAGGAAGGAAGGAAGGCTGGCTGATTTTGTAACACAGAGTCCCCTTATCCCGCCTGAACTTGTTCTTTGACAAATCCTAGCAACTTACAACCAGCCATACTATTTGAGTTGGGAAACCAACACCATTTACCCATTAGGAACACAGCTCCAGATTCGGTTTCTTATGCTTTCTGAGATGCAGTTGGAGGTTCTCTATTTTGTACCACTGCAGCCAGGGCTCAGTTTAGGCTCAGAGCCTTTGTGCTGAGTCCTTTTTAAATTTCTGCAGCAGGGTTTCACTAAGTTACTAAATTGCCTAGTCTGGGCTTGACTATATGATTTGCCTCAGCCTCAGCCACCTGGCATGGGGGGATCACAGGAATGTGCCACCACCCCCAGCTACTTTCAAGCTTTCACATTCTAACTTGATTAAAACTTGTTTTAAAAAAATTCAGAATATCATTCACATCAGCCCCGAGTGAGAACTTGCTGGAAGGCACCCGTACCGGAGCAGACGGCTACCAGGAGCCAGTGCTGCAGGAGGCACAGGAAATCTCTTGGTGTTTTCTACTCATTACTCCACGAGGCAGAAAGTGGCCACAGACGGCTGCGGGAGGACAGCTCCTTTGTCTTGCTCCTGATCCAAATCCCCAGACCTGTGTCCTTGGCCTCCCGACCATGGTGCATAGGGCTGACTGGACCACTTGCCAAGACACATGCAAATGTGGGGCGCTTTATTCAAAAAGGTTTTCCAGGAGCCTGCTCTTCCCATAGCCTCCCTCGCCCAAGTAGATGCTACCTCTGGGAGCCTTTGCCTGTCTGGGCCGGTCACTCACACCAGGTGTGGGCAGCAATGGCATTTCTGCCACATTACCCTGCTCTGCCAGCCTGGGGCAGGGACAGCCACCACCGTGCCCACCCCGAGGGGCTGCTTGTGCACCACCATCAGACCTCAGTGCCTGTGTCCAGGCCCCTGCAGGGGATGGAGGGCATGCAGTCACAGGGCAGGACAGGGAGGGGAGGTGGCCAGAGGAGAGGCTGCCCAAGCCGTGTCCTTTTCTGCTGTCCTCGGAGACACTAAGATGGCACTGTTAGGACCCTCAAGATGGCCTCTGGCAAAGTGCAAAGCCCTACACTTCTGATTGCTCTGGTGGGCTGGGATGGACGCAGAAGCCTCAGGAAGAAACAGTTCTAGAAGTGGAGGTGAAAACTCACAAGAAAAACCAAGCAGCCACTGCTGTTTCTATTGCAAAGTGTAAATGCCTCTTTTGCCTTCTAAATCCATGGCCACGTGCAGACGTGGGTGGGATTCCACACATCTCTGCAACTTCACCCTCCGAACGTTAAGGGCTGCTTCCTACTGAGTGGCTGTGCCGTTGTGTGTTAGGAAACTGCTTACCTTGGACACCAGGACCATGCGTTGGCTGGGCATGGTGTCAAACGTCAGTAACCACAGCACTGTGGAAGGCTGAGGCAGGAGAACTGCAGGCCCAGCCTGGGCAACTTAGCATCTTATCAGGACCTTGTCTCACAGTACAAGTAAATAAATAAACACATGTCTGCGGATGGCGCTCAGTCCACGGTCACTGTCCTTTCCACCCTCTTCTGACCCTCCTCTGCATTTCTTTTCTTCCTTTCTTTTGCCCTGGCTCTAGGGATTAGACGCAGGGCTGTCACACTGAGCTACATCCCCATCCTTTTTTATTTTTTATTTTGAAAGAGAGTCTCAATAACTTGCTGAGTTGTCCAGGTTAGGCTCAAACTTGCATCCTCCTGCCCAGCTTCCCAGCTGACAGGATTGCTACCGCCCTAGGGAGCTTGCTTGGAGATCACTGTCTTAGACCCCCAGCCCAATGACCATGTGATGACTCCAAGGTTGACAGTGACCCCCTCAGATGGAAGGGATGCCCTGGGGAACATAGGGCGCAGAAGAATACCATATCCCAGACAGAATTTATCCTCAGTCAGTGTTGCTTAATTGAAAAAAAGTGTGGCTGTCACCACACTGGGCAGACAACTCGTGTTACCTCTGAGGAGGCAGAGCAGCTAGGGAAGGGGCTTCCTTGCAGAAGCCACCAGTGAGCTTCCTGTAACCTCACCCACATTCCCCACATCTTGTTTACAGCTCACCTCAAGTCTGGGATCCACAACCTCTGCACCCCTAAAACCGAAGTTTGCCAGACTTCCCCAATCTATGTGAGGGAAAGAATCTCATTCTGATTTGCATTTTGGTCACTGTACTTCTCCTGTATTTTGCCTGTTCCTACCCTTTGATGGCTCTTCTAATGACTTGTCTTTGTAGCCCAGGCTGGCCTTGAACATCCAGTGATCCTCCTGCCTCAGCCGCTCGAGTGCTGGGATCACAGGTGTGCACCACCGGGCCTGAATTCCTCACTGATTTAGAAGAGCTCTTTGGTTTCTTAGAAGTCCAATGTGCTACCCATTGCGCAAAGGAGCCACCTAAGCTCTTTGGTTTCTTACTGCTCATTCATTTCAGATGGTGCAGACCCTCTTGTTTTCTTTGCTATTTCTTTTCTTTTTTTTTTTTTTTTAATTGGTACCGAGGATTGAACTCACGACCGCCTGCTTGCAAGGCAGGTGCTTATGCCGCTGAGCCCCTTTCTTTGCTATTTCACTGCTTGTCTTTTAACTTCTGAGGTATTGCTTGCTACCTGCGTGACAGCCCAGCTGAGCTTCAGTGTCCTCATGTAAGCCATGAGAGGATTAAAAGAGATTCGAATGTGCAGTACTTAACCCATCCTCAGCTCCCAAAAATGCAGCCACTACTGTAGCCTTGGGAACAAACTCCTCAGTGACACTTGGAGACGCCCAAGGCCAGGGCTGCCCCCATTTATCTTCAATAGTATAAAGCACCTCAGAACATGTGGGGTACTGATCCGACAAAATCTGGGGGGTACCTATTTGTCTTCTTGTGGTTTCCAAGCAAATGTTTGCTAAAGTTGGACTGGGGTGTGGAAATTCCTGACAAAGCCATGTGAGAGTCAAAGTAACACAACCTCCATCCTCTGTCCCAACCCTGCACTAGGTGGCCCCTGACTATGGCAGCCTCCAGGAAGGCCTGCCCTACTTGGACATGGTGATCTTGGAGACCCTGAGGATGTACCCACCAGCCTTCAGGTAAGCCTGCTGCCCGCCCTAGCTGCATCCTGGGTCCGCATGGTCCCCAGTCTGAGGCCACCTGCATTACCCACATGGTCCTGGAGAGCAGGGTCTGAGACCACCTTTGTACCCCTGGGGCACCAGCCCATGTTCCTGCAGAGTCCCAAAGCATTACCAGCCTTTCCTTAACACACCTGGCTACCAAGCCCAGGCCAGTGCTGTGCCTTTGGTGAGGGCCACCACTGCCCCTGCCCACTCATTCATTCATTCATTCATTCATTCATTCATTCATTCATTCATCCAGTCCTGTGTGCATCTACTCTGACTGATCCTCTATACAAAACACACCATGGCTCTGCTAACACTGGAGGGACTGTCCTGGGGCGTGCTTCCTCAAGTCCACCAGGTCCCACTCAGCCAAAAACATTTGACCCTGCTGTGTCTCAGCTGTTTCCTCCCTGGAACTGCTCCATATCATAACTCCAGACGCATTTTTTTTACCCACAACATGTCACTAATGCCCAGCTAGCCACACCAACCTGCAAAGGCAGTGATGAAGTCTGCTGCTCTCAAACTCCCCCAAACAAGGGGCCCTCCGGGGAGGGAAGCTGAGCCCAGGTGCCTGGCTCTCACACAGTGGAACACTGGCCAGATTCCAGATCCAGACAGAAGAAGCACAAAACTTTAGCAGCGTCTCATAAATTATACTCCCATGACTTAACACACCACACAGACCAAGTGCAGACACTTTTGCCTTTGTTGTTGTTGTGGCTGTTGTTTTTTTGAGACAGAGTCTTGTATGTAGTCCAGGCTGCCCTCAAACTCATAGCAATCCTCCTGCCTCATCATCCCAACTGCTGAGATCACAGGCCTGTGCCACCACACGTAGCTTCACCCTTGTGCCATTTTTTGAAAACTGTGGATTATAGAATAGGAGGCCTCAAAATTATCTTTCACATCAAAAACATTACAAAGAATGTGACTGTAGATATTATCCAGGATGTTCTAGACAGAAGCAAATACAAAAAAACCCCGGGGTGTGCACACAGCAAGCGGAACTCAGGGGTCTCTCCCCGCATCACTGTCCTGACACCAGCAGGAAGACCTGATTCCTGGGGGACTTCAAGCAACCCGGTGCCCAATCCTTTTCTCTCCTGTTTCATGACTTATGTGCAAAGCAGACTGCAGGCAGCTGGCGTGCACGTTAGAATGAAGTTCCGAGTGAAATATCTAAGGAAGAATGAGGCTGCTGAAAGCAGAGAATCCCTTCCTGGGCCCAAGAAGGCTGACGGCCTTTGGCCTCAGCGTGGCTGCTCAGTGCTTGCCAAGAGGACTAAGCCCAATAGTCATTCCCCATCAAGAGGAGATATGTATAACTCAGGCTAAGGACACATGACTTCCTGGACCTCAGTTCAGTCATGCATTCATCCCATGAGCTAGACGAGGCAGCACATGCCTGTATTCCCAGCTACTTGGGAGGCTGAGACAGGAGGATCACAAGTTAGAGCTCAGCCTGAGACCCTGTCTCAAAATTAAAAACAAAAGGACTGGGGTTTGTTGCTCCGCAATAGAGTATGTGCTTAGCATGCATGAGGTCCTGGGTTCAATCCCCAGTAATAAAGAAAACAGAATTCATCCATGTAGGAGACACAGAGGATCAAATAAAACCAGTGTGGACACAGGTTCAAAGCACACACTGTGGCCAGTCCTCCTCCAGGGGGCCTGTTGTCAAAGCTGGGGTGAGGCCACTGTCTGGGGACCACGGTGCCCTTGGTCCACTGAGGGACAGAGCAGGAGCTGAAGCATCGAGATGGACAGGTTGTGCTTCCTTGCTAAGGTCACAGAGAGTTGGGGTCTCTACAGATCCAGAAGAGTCCAAGGGGAGCCATCAAGGCAGTATGGGCCTGGGCCCTGGCCCTGGCCTGCATGAGATCTTGGGTAAGCCCAGCTGCCTGCCCTGCTGAGCCTGCGGGGGACACAGGGCTGATGGGGGTGGATGCATCACCCTCTACACAGCTGCCACTGGGCTTTGTGCCAGGAGCAGGTGCCTGGCTTCTTGGCCAAGGCCAAGGCCAGCTTGGAGGTGCGGTGGAGGTTACCCAGGGCTCTGGGGCATTTTTTCTTACGTAAGCCTGTGACTTCTCTCACTAGCCTGCAGAAGGACAGAAGCAAGGCCACAAACGTGCCAGGCAAAGGGTTTGTGGATGAATGGGGAAAGTGAGTCATTCTTTCCTTCCTCCCTCTTTCCTCTCCCCCTCTTTCACTCCCTTCCTTTTTCCTTTTTTCCTCTCAGAAAGCCTGTTACTCCTCCAAACACTGACACCCTTTGTTCCACCTATCAAAGTCCCCTGAAGGACTGGCCCAGGAAGCAGTCCAGCCTGCAGGAGACCTGGCTTCGAGGAAGGGCAGAGCCTGCTTTCTAGCTGCAGGGGCCCTGCGTGCAGTCCATGCTAACCCTGGCAAGATGAGGAGGAGAGCAGGACTGAGGCAGTCCAGGGCAGAGCCTTGCTGGACTGCACCCACAGACCCCCACACCTCAGCCCTGAGGGTTTAGGTGCTGTTTGCAGCCAGTTTTGAGTGGGGACCCAGCCTGGCCCCCTGCAGCTCCTGACCACTGCAGAGAGGCTAAGCGGAGATGAGACCTAGAGGGACCCAAGGTCCCCTAATCTTACTTCTGAGCAGGAATGGGTGTCACTATCATTAGTGAGATAATTGGGTTTTCTATAAGATTGTTAGGGATGCTCAATCCTATAATTTAAAAGCCAACAAAATTATTTTTAATTTTATAGTAATTATTTATATCGCTAAAACAAAACACCAGTATTTAAAAAACCAAAACAAACCCTAAATAATACACAAAGAGGCAAAAGAAAAGGCCTCCACAGCCCCGGCCTTGGTCCCACAGCCTGAAGGAGGTGACAATAGAATCTTTTTTTTTTTTTTTTTTTAATGCAGCACGGCACAGTGAAAACAATAGAATCTTAAGTATTCTGGAAATGTTGTATCTTCATGCAAACCTATGTGGTTTACTTTTTAAAAATAAAACAAGCCAGGCACAGTGGCACATGCCTGTTCCCCAGCACTCTGGGAGGCTGAGCAGGAGCACAGGTTCAGCACCATCCTGGGCAGCTCAGTGACTCAGTGAGATCCTGTATCAAAATTTAAAAAGTTAAGGGCTACAGCTTAGTGTAAAAACCCTGGGTTCAATTCCCAGTTCCTCTCTATGGTCTGCCAGGCTGTAAGGGTGGACTCCGGGAGGGGCGGCCGGAGACCTCCACAATCCCAAAAGTGGGGGGAGGGCGTGAGTGGGGCAGTCTCTGTGACAGCCAGAAGCTGGAGCTGATCTTCAGCCCTTACCCTAGCAGGCTTCTCCTCAGCCTTAAAATTCCTAACAGACTGTGACCAGAAGCCTCGAGACTGTGTGCTCCCCGAAAACTGAGGCTTCACGCTGTTTCTAGAAGGTTGACTCTGGGTGCAAAGGGTGACAGCATATGGAACAGGGACTCAACAGAGGTCAGGCAAGGACAGTGCAGAGTGTGGATTCAGTCCCCAGAGCCCGGGGGAAGTGATGGCACCGGGCAGAATCTTGCCACACCAGGTCAGGGATTGGTGGCAACAGAAAGACCAGGGCTGCAGTAGCAGCCGTGATGGTTGAACTTGTCTGTCTCTCTCAGGAGAGCTGGCTGTTGTCCTGATAAGAGAGCTGTTTGCCCAGATAAATTAGTTTGCTTTAATTTTCTAGAGCAAACAGTGGAGTTATTTCTTGGATTATTGTCTTCGCTTCCTGCCTGAGAATTTTCTGGAGGAGGCAGGAAGTCACGTGGTAGGGCAGTCTTGGGGCTTGGGGCTGGTCCCCAGCAGAGAAAAGATTTGAAAGCTGTGTGGCATCTGCAAGCTGCAGGAACAGAGACTTGGCCCCTGTGTTCCTGAGGAATGGGTGCCCATGGTGGGAAGTTGTGAGGCAAAGATTTTGGAACCCTGTGGAGCTCAAATGGGCCATCATGGACAGGTTCCGCAAGGCCAGGCTCAGGAACTGGAACAGGCTTAGTCATCAGCTGGGCGTGGTCTCAGCAGCCCCAGTGTTGCTTGGCGTCATGTGTGAGCAGCCTCCAACAGCGCCGACCCGCTCCTGGCCTTAATCCACACACTGGCTGGCTGTGGTAGCACACACCTGCAATCCTAGCACTCTGGGAGACTGCAGCAGGAGAATTTCAAGTTTAAGCCCAGCCTGGGCAATATAGCAACTTAGCAAGAGTCTGTCTCCAAATAAAATTTAATTTAAAAAGATTGGAAGCCAGGCATAGTGGTACATGCTTGTAATCCCAACACTTGGGTGGCTGAGGCAAGAGAATCACCACAAACTCAAGGCTAATCTCGGCTACATAGTGAGTTCAAAGCAGGCCTGGACTACATAGTGAGACCTTGTCTCAAAAAAACAAAAACAAAACAAACAAAAAAGGCTGGGGATGTAGCTCAGTGCCAAAACCCTGGGATCACTCCCTCGGTGCTGGAAAAAAAAAAAAAATTCCCAATACTGGTTGTCTTATTTTTCTCATTGCTGGGACAAAATACCCAAAACCGATAAATTAAAGGAGAAAGGTTTATTTAACCTGCAGTTGGCAGAGGTTTCAGTCCATCTTCAGCTGGCTCCAAGGCAGGGCAGCATCTCGGAGGAGACAGCCCAGGTCAGCCGAAGCAGGAAGCAGCGACCAGCAGCTGCAACAGCAGGCCTGCCCTTCTTTTTCCCCCCAATCAGGCTCCAAACCTTTTGGAGGAGCCACACACACCAGGGTGGGGCTTCTGCCCTTCTGGCCGCACCCAGAACCGTGCTAATTACAATCAGTGGGCTCAGTTAGTACCACACATCTTGAATCCCTGTACCACAAGCCCCAGATCCAGCCTGCTCTGAGGAGCCCACCAATGGGCCCAGGAGGCTTTGAGGGATTGTGTAGATCCAGGCCACGACCCTGGCCCTGAACCACCTTTCAGCTGGTTTCTGATCTCTGCTTCCTTCTCTGTATAGCTTTGTGTCCCACTGCACCTGAGAGCAACGTGGCTAGGAGAGCTTCCAGGCCACGATCTCTGCCCGTTTCTGCAGGTGCCACACAACTTTAGGCATATGGGAGCCCCGAGCCGCTCCCCAACAAGTCGGGTGTGCAGAAACCACTCGGGTCACCGTGAGGAGACTGGGTAGGAAAAGAGGATGTGAAAATCTAAATCAAGGAGGTGGAAGGGGAACTGGAGAGATGGCCCAGTAAGGAAGCCAGGGGTAAAAATGCACAAGGAAGAGCCTAGGGGCTCAGAGGAGAACAAGGGGGGGGGGGTGTCGAGGGGCAGCCCCAGTCCTGCTGAAGCGTCCTGGGCAGAGGTCTGATCAATGGCTGGGAACAGGAAACAGAGGCTCGGACAGGATCAGGGCAGAGTAGAGAGCAAGGTATGGGTCACATCCCTGGCGTAGGTGAGGGGTGGGTGCAGAGGAGCCTGATAGGAGAGGGATGGAGGGAGTCCCAATGCACAGGAGGAAAACCAAGCAAATAATGTCACTGAAAATCAAGGAAAGCAGCTGGGCAGTTTCTTGGAAGTAACTTGGAAGGCTGAGTAACTCAGCCTGGGTAACTCAGCGAGACCCTGTCTCAAAAAATAAGAAGGGGGGGGGGCTGGAGATTTAGCTCAGCGGCATAAGCGCCTGCCTAGCAAACAGGCAGTCGTGAGTTCGATTCCCGGTACCAATAAAAAGGAAAAAGACAAAAAAAAAAAAAAAAAAAAAAAAGAAGGGTTAGGGTCAATAGCTCAGAGGCAAAGGGTACAAGCGTATTTGCGCTCTGGTTTCAAGGAAAGGGACTATGGAGGGGGAGGGGCACACGAGAGAGATGGAACAAAAGTGAATGGAAGAAAATAGTAACCGCAGGTAAAGCCGAATAAAGGGTACATAGGTAATCCTACCTACTATTCTTATTCTTCAACTTTTCTGCTGTAAGTTCAAAATTATTTCCAAAAGAAAAACCCAAATAAAAACCAAAACCAAATCCAAAACCGAAACATAGAGCTGGTAGCACAGAAGGGCCGAGAGAGACGACGAGGAGTGACCACTGGACAGGCCATCGGAGGGTCTCGACCTGACGTGAGGACTGTCCCTGGTAGGGAGGCACCAAGCGGGGCTGGACAGGACGCTGGGGGAGAGGAGGTGCAGGGGGACCAAGCGGCAAGGGGGCCAAGTGTAAGTGGAAAGATGAGGAGCAGCAGGAAGAAGCTCCAGCCCTGCTGGAAATCAGCCCTCGGGAGGCTCCAGGCCCCCCGTGGTGGGGAGGTTAAAGGGATGCATGAGACCCAGGTGCAGTCAAAGCTCATAGGATGGGAGCTGAGTCACTACCTGGGGTGCCCTGGGAAGAGTTCAGCCCTCCTGCCCCCGCCTCCTCCCATCCCCCACCTCGGGTCACAGTCCCCTGTGGCTCCCACCCACCCACATGCTGGCCACTGTCTTGGTCCTGGTAGGTTCACGCGGGAGGCAGCACGGGACTGCAAGGTGCTGGGGCAGCACATCCTCGCTGGCACTGTGCTAGAGGTGGCTGTGGGTGCCCTGCACCACGACCCCGAGTTCTGGCCACATCCTGAGACCTTCAACCCTGAAAGGTGAGCACTGTCCGCTCAGTAGGAGCCAAAGGGCGTGAGCTGTGGGACACACCTGGCCATGGAGGGCCAGCTAGGAGGCACAGGCACCCCAGCGAGGTCAGGGCAACCCAGACTGACGTTGCCAGGGTATCACTTCCAAAGGGAGAAACTGTACAGTTTATAACCTGCTCAGACTGAACCCTGAGGTTTTTCAGCAGCCATGTTCATTCCAGAACACAGGATGCTGGATTGTACTTTGAGCCTAAGTTCCTGAGACCCTTCAGACCCGGATCCTCCTTCTCTGGTGTAATCTGGTCCACTAATTCATGTCTAGCCTCTGGATACAAGCTGTCTCCTCCTCTGCTTGTGGTCAGGCTGACCAGAGTCGTCATCTTTGCACTCTGCCAAGGAGGGCTGGCCAGGCAGCCACTTGGTTCCCACCCTTAATGGCTGTTCCTGAACCAGCCCAAGTCACTGGGATCCTGTAAATACACTTCCAGCAGCTCCTAGAAATAAGCAAAGACCAGGGGCGAGGAGTGCTGCTGCAGGATTCCAGCACCACGAGGAAGCCCAGGGGAGCTAAGAACTTGTCCCGCATTGCACTGTCATGGAACACACAGTGACACAGTGACAGACTCGGTGAGGCCAAGGAAGGGCTCTGCATTCAGGCTTCCTCTCAGCCTGGCCAGCCACAGCGCCCGAGGAGGGCTCTGAGGAGGGCTGACCATGGGCTGGGAAAAGGGTGACGCTGCCTGCGGTGCTATAGCCATGGGCCAGGCCCGGGCTGTGCTCCCACTGAGGCTCAGACCTGGAGCTCGCTAAGGGCACTGAAGTCCTAAGGAGAGGCAGAATGGCGCTGCTGATGTCCAGGGCATGCTGTGGATTGAGTGGTGCAGCTCGGGAGACAGAGTGGGACTTCAGGCAGGGATGAACAATACCAGTGGCCAGCCTTGGGGGCCATCCTGCAGGAAAGGGGGTTCTGTGGCTGTAGCAGGGTTTACTCCCTGCTGGGACCAATAGTATTTCAGACAGGAGGGCGACTCAGTCAGAAGGGGGGGACCTTAGGTGTGAGGCAGGGGGTGTCCAGGCCAACACTGACCTTCCTGTGGACCCCCAGGTTCACGGCAGAGGCGCGGCAGCAGCGGAGGTCCTTCACCTACCTGCCCTTCGGTGCAGGGCCCCGGAGCTGCCTGGGGGTGCGGCTGGGGCTGCTGGAGGTCAAACTGCTACTGCTCCAGATCCTGAGCCGATTCCGCTTTGATGCCTGCTCCCAGACTCAGGTGAGGGATGTGGCTCTGGGGTGGGAGCCACCCCAGTTCCTGGAGGGGTCTCAAGCTCTGCATGGGATCCGGAACCCAGCCCATCCCCTAACCTCCTGGGCCTAGGTTTCATGACGTGTGAAGTGGGACCATGCCAATAATACCCCCAGTTCCTACTGTCACGAGTGGCCGGCTCCAGGGCCAGCCTCACGTCTTCTGCAACACGTGCTGCTTGGCAGGGATGGCGTGTGTGGCTTGTCCTCCAGAAGCTGGGGGTGCCCCCTCTGGTTCCTCTTGGTTCCCTTAGGTTTCCTGCTTGGAGAGGTGGCAGAGGGGCTCCAGCTTCTTGGAAGGTGCTCCCAGCTGCCACAGCTTTGCCTTCCCCCATCCTGTGGTCCCTGTCACACGCTGTGCCACCCCTTATCCCTGAGGTCCCAGACAGGTGCACAGACTCTCCCTTAGCAGGACGTCTCAGCCCTCCTGAAATGTGACTGTTTCTGAGCCCTGACCCCCTCACACCACATGCTTTGTCCCTAAGCTGGGTTCTGTTATTCCCATCTTCTGATGATGTGGAGCTCAGAGAGGGGAAGTCCCATGCCTGAGATCAGTCAGACTGCAGATCAGGGACAAACAGGGACAACTCTACTGTGTCCTCCACATGCAGCCTGATGCCAGGCCCAGAGCTCATGCATGAATGTCAAAAGAATGCATGGCAGGTGCTCATGCATTTATTCAAGGACAAACAGACAAGGAGCTAAAGCGTGAGGAAGCCTGAGCTCAAACCCAGTCCTGACATGCCCAGAAACTGCTGCTTGCATGATCCGGCCATCCTTCCCTGCAGGCCCAGGGCTATGTGCTCCTGCCTCTAGAGCCTTGGCACAGCCATGTGCCTGCACAGAAGGTGTGCAGGGTAAAAAGAGACCCAGGGACAGAAACTAATGGTTCTAGATTCAGAAATTGGCAGTGCCTGTGACAACCAGAAGACCTGGGCCCGGCTACCGGTCCTGAGGAGCACGTTGGAACCAGAAGGAAGGATGTCAGGCAGAGCCAAGTAAGGAGGGGACAGAGCAAGAGAGGGATAGGAAAGGGCAGGGGAAAGTACCTCCTTAGGCAAGTGCGAGACCAGAACATCCAGAACATGCGCCCCAAGAGCCAGCAGCCCCAACTGCTGAATTCAAGATGGCATGAGCGCGTGAATTACCCACCCCAACCTCCCACTCCCATAGGGTTCCCTCTCATCCTTGAAAGCCACTACTTCCACCTCCTGCCCCTTCCCAGTTCCATCTTCTAGGCTTCTTCCATCCCTTCCCCTACCCAGGATACCTCTTCCAGGAAGCCCTCCCTGATTTCACCATGCCTACTTACCTCTTCTTTGCCTTGCATTCATCTAGACATGTGCTGTGCCCTTAGTCCCATGTGGCAATTTACATTTAATTATAACCAAATCCAGTCAAAGCCTCAGGCCCTCCTTTGCCCGGTCATATTCTTGGTGCTCCCTGCCCAGGTACAGGCCATCTGTTCTTGACATATACCTTGCTATCTGTGATATAGCCTGCCAAGGCCTCGGAAAATGCCCACCGAGGCCCCAATCCTGTAACCTGGATGGATCTTCACATGAGCCACCATACTGCCACCTGACATACACTCTTGAAAATCCTCTGGTTTGTCTTCCAAGTCCTCAGGCCATCGTGACCTCTGCCTTTGAGGTTGGCCAGGGAAGGCCAGACCAGACTGCCAGTGAGCAGGTTGTGGCCCAGGGTCACTGTCCTCAAAGAGAGGGCAGCAAGAAGCCAGGGACAGTAGGGTGGCGGTGGCAGAGGCACTGCAGCCGTGTAGCCTCCCGGAGCCTCCTGGTCTTTGTGTGCAAAGTGAGATCTGCTGTCTTCCCCAGCCTTCTCACATACACAACTGTAGCCCAGACGTGCTCTTCACCTATGGTACGCAACTCACCTGGGAGGACACTAACTTCCTTAACCATAGTCAGCTGGTGCCCCCATGCCTTTCCCCGAGCTGGCTCTGCTGGTTCTCAATGAGCTGTATCCACTCAGGGGTCTCCTTTACCCACTCCTTGCCCATCCATCAGCCACAGATTTCTGCAACCCTGCCTCAGGCCTGGCTCCAAAGAACTCTTTCTGTGGTTATGGTTGATTCTATTTTAATTTCCTCTATTTTAGGTACCTCTGCAGCTAGAATCCACATCTGCTTTAAGTCCCAAAAACGGCGTCTATATCAAGCTTGTACTGCGCTGAGGCAGAAGCAGCTGGGAAAGAGAAGGCAGCTGACGGCTGTACAGTGTACCAGTCAGTGTTTTGAGGGCACTTGGGATCGAGAAAACCCTTATCTTGTGATGCAAGTGATGGAGAGTGTGGCGTGCATGCAGTAAAGAGCTGATGTGATGTCTAAATGCTTAATAAACATTGGTCACACTCGGTATTAATGATGCCAGGGACATTGCTATTGATCTGTTAGATTGTGAATAAATAGGCAAAATGACCAAGCACATGATGCTTAAAGGAAGTCCAGCCTCTGAGCTGGAGGATTCTACAGTGCACAAGACACTCGGGACCCTGTCTCAAGGGCACCAGCATGGGGCTTTCAGAGAACGGTGCTCACCAGACAGCCTGGAAGGTAGCTGCAGGCTTTATGTGCTGGTCCTCCTAGCTGGGGCTCTATGACCATCTAGTGAATTTCACGCACTCTTTCTTCTAATGAAAGGTCTCTTAATTTTGATCAAGAAATCCAAATATGCAGTTGAAGGTTTGTAAAAGTGATGATCATGTTGCTAGGGGGGCTCACATACACCGAAGTACTCGCCATTTGGATTCCAGAATTTCCCCCAGGAGCCCCAGCTGCTGGTCTTTTCAGCTCTGTGTGCTTCTGTTTCCTCACCTGTAAAACAGGGAAGCTGACCAAGCAGAAAGATCCGTCGCCTCCGTTTGACTTTGGAGCAGCCAGGGCTGAGTGCCTCGTAGATGACGACCTTAGCAGGATCCACTGGCCCTTCTCCTGGCATCCAGATGTCTCCAGGTGACACCTTCACATGACTCGGAAAAGCTGCAGACTTCCTCACATACTGCTACATATATGTGGTCCTTCTCCAGTCCCCAAGCTCAGAGCACCCACACTCCCCCGATCTCCCCCAGAGGGGCCCTGATCACTCCCACACTGTCCCAGCCCTGAGCCTCAACCACCCACGCTGTGGTCCAGGCAGCTGTCATACAGTCCCCCCACAGCCTCACTACCACCATCTGTGCTCCATAACCAGGCTTCAGGAACCCAGCCTGCTCTCCTACACCCTGCCTGGGCCCCAGTGCCTGACCACCCTACAGGCACCAAACCACACAGGCCCAGCCAATACCTAGCTCCCCTTAGGAGCAGGGCCACCACCTCAAGTCCTCAGGTGGCCACTCTCCCCTAGGCCATCATTTCCATCTGGCCACCCCTTTCTGTGCCCAGGTAGCCACCATCTTCATGCACAGCCAATGTGCTAAAGTCGCTGGGCCCCCAGCCCTCTGCTGCTACTCGCTTTGCTTAAATGTGGGGCAGAAAAACACCCAAAACCACACCAATCAGCCACAGACCCTTCCAGTGTCTGGGTCCTCCGCCACCTGGGTCCTCACACTCTGGTCATGCCCTGCACCTACCCCTGCCCTGGACCCTACATCTGCACAGACGTCCTGAGAGCTCCAGCCCTGCTGGCTCCTTCCAGTCCCAGGGTCCACCTGGTCCCATTCCTGCTGACGTGGGTCCTGCCCTTCTGCCAGTCCAAGCTGTTGCTAACTTGCTTTCTCAAAGGTCCCCACATCAGTGATCTCTGCAGCCTTCACAGCTCCCTCCCTCTGGTCATCCCCCCGCCCATGCTGCCAAAGAAGCCCTCCTGCTCCTTGCTACTGCCTGGGTCCCAGCAGCCAGCTGGGTAAAGGGCACAGCCCCCCCTGCATTCAGGACTTTTCCAGGCAAGCATCACATGCACGCACACCACAGGCCAAAGATCATAACAAAATCAATGAATAGATTTGGAGGTTTAGGCAAGCTGTGCGGGAACATGGAGCAGGCTGAAAACCATGCCTTTGGCAGCTGTGCAGCTGGCCCTGCTGGCGCATCTGCTAGTGTGGCTGCTGCCTGCTCATTTAGCCTGGCTCTGCCCTGCCTATGAGAGGTTTCCATTCACTCTGAAGATGGGAAGATGAGGCATTCTTGGATCTGAACACATGGGCACAACCAATGCACAAGCACCAAGTGAGTGCATCTTACTGGGTGTGAGCTTCATAACTGGCCCTGAACCAATCAGAGTCCAGGAGGGATGTGCCGGACTATCCACGAGCGTTGTTCAGGGGTGAACCTGGGCTCTGTGGGCTAAAACTGTGAGTTAGGAGAAAGAGAAAAAATGCAAATGTGTAAGCTGCAAACTTGAGCAGAAAGTATAACCACGTGATGCTTTTGTTAGGGTTCCGAGTAGGGTCTTAAAAGGGAGTCCACAAAGTCATACGTGGTGGGTAGTGCAGGCCTGTAATCCCAGCCCTCAGGGCTAAGTAGGAGGACCACAAGTTCTAGAACAGCTTAAACTGTAACAGACTCTGCTCCTCCCCCAAAAAGAGGGGGACCCACAAGCAAGGGTCCCAGCCTGCTGCTTTGTGATAAATCCTCCCAAACACTGCCAATGTTCACAGCATCACCTGCTCCCCCCTCCTGCTGTGCTCTGTTTCTACTCCAATCTCAGCTGAACCCTCCTTGCTGAGGCAGAGGTCCTGGAACATAAGGAGGTGACCCAGTTGTGAGCATGGGGCCCTTCTGCCACCCAAGGCTGCGGTGAAAAGGGCTGCCAGTGAGGAAGGCGCCCTTGCCCTGCAGACACCCAGCCTGCAGCCTTGTAAGTTGAGATCACCTGTTTCTAAGCCCTGTACAGATGAGTTTACAGCAGCCCCAGGGCAGACAGACCCCACCCCTGAGCAGTGCCCAGTTCCCAGCAGTGCCCGTGCCACAGTCACTGAAGAAGACTGCAGTCATCTGTAGTATTTGGATAAATACTTTTATTCCGTACTCTCATGTGACACTCACAGCACAGGATCCCAGCCTCACTGGACATGGGAGGTTACCCCACATCCTCAGGGCTGCGAGTCTGGGGTCCCAAGGGATTCTTTCATGTCTCCTGCCAGGGTGGTCCTGCTGGCCCCCCAGCACTAGGGAAAACTGGCAGGGACTCAATGATACCACACGGCCGCCACCTGCTCTAACATGACACGGGTCAGTCAATGCCAGGACCCAGAGCAGCCACAGAACCAGACTCACCTCCCCGCAGGCCACTGCACCACGCTGACAAAGGGCAGGAGACCCTGAACACAGAGTCACTGCAGACACAGAAACTCCTAACCATTAAAACAAATCCATAAAACAGTGTTGTGAAACTGCCAGGTGCGACGAGCAGCAAAGTCACGGAATGGGAAGTGCGGCAGCAATAGGTCATTAAAAAGCAAGCCGGGCTCACCTCCGATCACCCAGCATGTATGTCCACAGGTGAGCCCCAAAGTCACCCGAAAGTAGAAACTGTTACTGACAAAGGAGTAAGAATGCAGCTTCCCCGAGAAGCCACATTAAACACAGTTCATTAAAAGTTTTCTCTAAAACAACCCCGCACAGCTTCCCTGCCTCCTGGCTGCACTTACTGCCGGCCACCAAAGAGGGAGCCCAGTGCTGCCAAGACCACAGAGCTCCCCGAGGGGGTGGGGGTGGGGGTGGAGGTGGGGGTGGCAGTTGTAGGTGGCAGCTTGGGGGAGGTCGAGTACTGAATGAGGTACTCAGGGTAGGCCTGGTGCTTCTCAAAGACCACAAAGATCCCCGGGTCGGACACACTGTTCACGCAGCTGTCATAGAAGGCATTGCTCTGCCCTTCCTTGGCAGGAGGGCGGACCAAAGAGGGGTTGCCCCTGACAAAGTCACCCACCAGCACCCGGGCCAGGAACATCATCTGGACGTGGGTGTCGGACTTGCTGTAGTGGTGGGAATACGCAGCGTCACGGGCGAAGTAGCTCCCTGGAACGACACACACAGGCTCTGCTGGGCGCAGGGAGGACAGGCCTCTCCTAGCAGCCACACAGGACAGGCAGTCGCTGCTGGGAAGGGCCTGGCCACAGGCGAACAGCAGCCTCTGCCCTTTGTCGCTCTGCCTCTCCACGGGGCAGTGTCAGTACTGCCGCCCTCTTCCTCGCAGCAGCAGCAGCAGAGTCCCCACCTCAGAGGAGGCCCCTCGGCACTGACACCAGTGGAAACTTCAATTTTTTAAACCCAGTTTCCTCAGCTGTGACACAGGACTGCTCTGCCAAGCTCAGTGAGCATGCAGGCCACTATGTGAGCACCAGCGGCCCAGCAGGACTCCAAAGCTTCTCACAAGGGGACAGGCTGTCATTGCACGCTGGCAGTCCAATACCAACTTCCCACCTAACCCCACAACTGTCACCCATCAGGCAGAAACCACTTGACGGACCATCAACCAAGATGTAGACAGCAGGGTATGGTGTTTCTATCTGTAGTGGCCCCACTGGCTAGGGGAAGCGTTGCAGGAGAGGCATCACGATCCACTCCCTGGCAGAGCCTCACAAAAAATACAGGAGACATCAAACCAGCATGGTGCATTACACTGACAAGCAGATAAAACGCACAGTCACTTTTTACATAATTATTTTTGCAGCTCTCCTGAGTTTGAAATTATTTACAAATAAAAAAAAGTAACAGAGAAGAAAACAGATGACTCACAGAACACCTGGAATGTGTACCTAAGAAGTCTAGGTCTCGTGAAGGCATGGTCTGGGGACTGCAGCAGATCTAGGAAGGTGGCCCCTCTCCTCTTCCAGCTCAACCCTGCCCTCCCAGACCTCCACCCCAGGGTTGCTGTGCCTCAGGCTGATTTCTTGGCTACAGGCAAGAGGAGCAAACTCGGGTCCTGCTGAGAGCATCCCTGCAAATGATGGGTACTCCCAAGGGCCAGCACGGCAGGGCCATGGGCCACATCACCTTACCTTTCCCATAGGAGGTGCCGTGAAGACCACAGATGCGCCAGTCAAAGTTTTGCTGGCAGATGGCATCCACAAAGCTGGTGGCAGTGCCATGGAACAGCTGCCGCTCGTCCACCTCCTTCCCCTCATTTCGCTTCTGCATCTGCCCCTTTTGCCTAGAATGCAGGACACACGTTGAAGACAGAGGTGCTGGCCACCAAGTCCAGTAGGAGGGGTGGAGAGAGAGCAGACAGGCAGCTCCTAGCGGACAATGCTGCGCTACTGGTTTTCTGGGGCCCAGGACAAGCAGACAAGCAGTTGGCAGGGTAAGAGAACAGAGTGGCCCGCTGCCCACAGCCAGCCCCAACGCACCACTGGTAGACTTCCCACAAGGCCAGGTTCTGCACTCGCTCTATCTTCTGAACAAAGCAGTAAGGCAGTGTACAGTTGAAGAGGTTCCAGACTTTCTGATACTCTTCTGAGGAAGTATCAAGGGTGATTTTCTACAAAGGGAAAATGTCTTTAATATGCGACCATCCACGTGCAGACTATGGAAGATCCTTTCCTCTTCCCATGGCAACGGGAAACTGCCTGGACTCGAAAGCAAGGAAGCCGCAGGGTGGTGCCCACACCCCTCCCAGGTGTGGTCTCTCCTGGTTGGGAATAGTTGCAAATTACAGGCATTTCCCACTTGTTCACTGTGAAGCCAGCTCACAGGACGGGCATGTGACACCCAACATGGCACTCCTGGGTGTCTCGGGTACCCCTGCCCAGCTTTGGATCTTTAGTAAGGTATAAAAGGACGGACCGCATGGCCTACAAGAACTGGTGTGACCCCAGCCCCTCCCCCTGCACACACCGGCACTGCAGATTTGACATGCTTGGCATGAGCCTGACAGACCCCGCCAAGACAGGGCCCATGGTACCCAGAGGCTACCAGCAAGCAGGGGACAGGGAAGACAGCAGTCTGTGCTCCCATTGGACACCAAGCCAGCTCCACCCACACCACAACTCCTCAGCCCTCCTGTCTTCTCTGGGCTGTGCTTTCCTCTGCGACATGTCCCTCATAATACAGCTTCCACCGGTTTACTTTCCTTTTCTTGTTTAGTAAAATTGATTTTTTTGCTAAGCCACAGTTGTCTTCCTTCTTCCATACCACACCCTCCCTTCAAGCCACAAGCATCTCTTGGGCAGCAGGCAGTCATCTGGCCTTAAATTCCTTCCCAGAAACCACGCCCACTCAGCACCATCCATCTGCCACCCATCCCTACAGACCCCTCTTTTCCAGCCCCAGCAGAGTCCCTTACCTTAAAGCCTGGGTCAGGCAGGGCAGAGGGATCCCAATAGTCTGGGATGCTCTTTGGGCCTTGAAACTTGACACTGCTACAAAATATAAACAGAACCACTAAGACACTTTATCCTGGATGTATGCAAATCTACCACAGTCAGTTCCCACTGAACAACATCATCAGGCTTGATTGTCAGCACACAGTATGTGAAAAGGCAGAGGACACACACAAACACAGCATCTGCAATACAAGAACACTTTGTCTGGGCAGGGAGGGGTTGACAAAGGATGTCCTTTTATAGTTCAGCCTGGCCTTGAACTCACAGGTATCCTCCCGCCTCAGCCTCCAGAGTGCTAGATTATAGGTATGCACCATCAGGGCCAGTATGAACACTTCTATCTTTACCTACATGGCCAAACACAGAGCAATCAGTCCTGGGGACGCCTTCTCACCTTGTCCCAGCTAACCCAGAAGGGACAGAGCCCATGAGGAAAGCAGCATGCATGTGACACAGGCTTGAACATGAAGATTTTTTTAACAAGTAACCTGATGTATAAAAATTGAGGGGCTACTAGGGATTGAACTCAGGGACACTCAACTACTGAGCTATGTCTCAGCCAGTCCTTTTTAAGAGTAGCTTTTGCTAAGTTGCCCAGGCAAGACTCAAACTTACAGTCCTCCTGCCTCACCATTCTGAGTGGCTGGGATTTTTAAAAGTGTGCGCCACCACATCCAGCTTATAAAAACATGTTTTAGAAAACATAAAATGGACACCAAAATCCACTTGGCAGTAGAAATCTGACTTGAACTGAGGTCTGCACTCTGTCAATCTTCTCAAAGTGATGGCAAGTACTCCTTCCTGCAGAAATATTAATGTGCTAAGATACAGGTGTCACACAACACAGGCAACACATAAACCTTATGCAAATGAGAACAGACGACAGAGGCCCCATGGACTCCAGGAACAGCACCATGAACTGCTGCCAAGCCATTCCGCTTCCAATCTGGAATGCTCTGTGCCCCACACCAGCACTAAGTACTGCTTCTGCAGGCACGGGACACAGCGCCAGGCAGTCATCTCAAGATGGTCTCAACGCAAGCAGCAGCCAGAAACTGGGGTGACACCCTGACCTAGGGTGACAAGATCATTACACTGTAAAACAGTGTTCTTCCTACGCTTGAAGAAATGAAAAGGGAACTTTGAAAGCATACACAAGGAAACCATAAGAAGACTGTAAAATCTAAACAGATCTTTTAGAAATGAGAAGTGGAATCCTATGACCAAAGCTTCAAGGCCTTGCTGAATAGCAGACGAGACCATCTGAAGACAGAAATAACAGTTGAGAGATGTGAAATGAGATTATCCAGAACGCAGCCCGCATACGAAGGCGATGCGGGATGTGGGGATGGGGCACAGAGAACTCGCTGGACTGGGGCCAAAGCTAAAGGAAACTCCCGATGGGGAGGAGAAAGCAGCCCTGGGACACAATGAGCACAGGTTTCAAAAGCCCGGAGAATCTCAGGCAGGACAGAGCCACACTGAGACACACACAGTGAGGGCACAGCCCTGAGACAAACAGGAGTACCATCAAAGAAGCACCAGTTACAACAGTCAATGTCTTGAAAGCAACAAGAAGAAACCAGAAGACAGTGGAGTGCTATCTCTCATGTTCCAGGAAAAAATAATTATAACCTAAACTTTTGTACCCAGTGAAAATATATCTTAAGGACAAAAAAAAAACAGTCACACAAACCAAAAGTATCTTCTAGTAGTCCATTATCTTTGGAAATTTGAAAGAACAAAGAAAGAGGCAGAACTGTAATTTTAATGCAGCACTAACAATATAAAATAAAAGCACCTCTTGAGGCTAAAATTTGAGGAAGGTAATTGGAAAAAAAGTATAGAAAGGCCCTGTGCGAAGCAAAAGATACTGATTTACTTGTACCTAGGTGAATTACACATTGTAGTTTCTAGTAGATCCTTTAAAAAAAAAATGGTAACACACTGTATCTTCCAAAATTTTTAGAGGAAATGTGACTTTAAAAACCCAAAAGATAACAAAAAGAATCCATCACATAAATCTTTTCATGGAAGATGGAAATTACAGATCTAACCAGATACCTAATGTATATAAACACTGCTTCAAATTGCTACTTTAGATGACAATCTCGTATGACCTACTGAATAAAGAGGTTACATTCTGTTGTTTAACTACAGAAGTGCTTCTGAAAGAGACCTCAGCGTTCCTGACAAAGCCCCTCCCACTGGAGCTAAGGACAAGTGTCTGCCACACACAGCTGAGGAGGGAAGTGGACACGGAGCTGCACGGGCTGCACACAGCACTGGGCCCACAGCAGGGGACGTCACACATACCTCAGTCTGTGTGAACTAAAACCACGTTATTTCTGACATCAGCTGTCTACTTGTGTCCCCCTGAAAACCAAATTAGAATGATGACACAAGACATTGAGTCTCAAAGAAGTTTCCAACTTAGCCTTGGGCAGACTCTGGATAGAGAAATAATAACTTCTAGCTACCAGACAGTTATAATCAACCAAAACTCTAAATCTAGCAGCAATAAAAGAGACTGATATATTTAATCAAAAAAGAAAACAAAAACATCTGATATAATGCTCATAAGCAAAGACGAAAAACAAACCAAGAAAAAGATATTTGCAATTTACATAACCAAGGGTTAAAATCTCCTGAACAGATAAGAGGTTCCAGATATTTAAGAAAAACAGCAAAAAGTTAACAGAAAAATGGACAAAAAGGTAAACAGCTCAAGCTGGAGCAGGAGGGAAGAAAAACGGTCCTTACATGCTAGGGAAAAGACACTCGTGGGAAAAGCAAACTAAAGTGCCCCCACACACCATCTCACACCTAGAGAATGACAACATCTCCGAACTCGACAACTTGCCTGAGCAGCACCTAGGAAAAATGGCATCTCAGGTGGCCCACGGGAGAGCTTAGTGTTCAGGCTCACTAAAAGGGCTTCATTTACCATCCAGGACTCAGACCTGGTCATCTAACCCAAAATTCAAAACAGCACCCCACCCGCTGGTTCCACATGACACTGACACTGAGAACAACAGAACATTTATGAAAAGAAGAAAAACTATGCCCCACACCCAAGACTGAGAACCACCAAAGCGAGGCAGACTTAGGAAGACAGACTTCGGTGAGCTTAAACACAGTATGCATCAGGATCTGTTTAGGATTTTAAAGGAAGTATAGAATAGCATATATGCCAGATGACCTTTTTTGCAAGAAGAGACAGAAAGTAGGCTTGCGTGTGCCCATGCTATTTGCTCATGGCTAAGAGAAACAGGCAAAAGCAGAAAGTAATGAAGTGCCCACCCCAGCGGAGAAAGAGTGGAGCTCACACAGATGCAGACTACCAGATGTTCTTTATTGTACAATCTTAAACATGTAAATGTTTTACATAGTTAAAAATAATTTTTTTTGTTTGGTACCGGAGATCGAACTCATGACTGCGCACTTGTAAGGCAGGTGCTTATGCCGCTGAGCTAAACCCCCAGCCCCATAAATTTTAATTAAAAAGAAAAAGGCAGGCACACTCCTTAGAAAGTTACTTTGTTGGATCTAAGTTGTAAGACATCTCCCATGAAACCAAAATGAGCCTGACTTTTCAGGCTAACAAGAGACAGGTACCTAGCAGCCACGTTAGCTGCAGTCCCAGCCTCGACTGTGGCAAAGCCAACCTGACAGAGGCACTGCCGTCCTTTGCGCCCCGTGGGCCAGCTCCTTCTAGTGAGAGCTGAGGGGCTGTGTGGTTGAAGAGTTGGCCCCTCCCATCTGCTCCAACCCATCAGGCTGCCCACCCCTAAAACAACACTCCTACTTCATGGGGAGGTGAGAGCTGTGCAGAGCCCGCCACTCTCCCCCGTGCACCAGGCCAGGACACAGAGGCCCCAGCAGCCGTCCACAACCTAAGGAAACCCACCCAGGCTGAAGCTGGCCGAACACTGACTCTGATAGCAGGTGTGGTATCACACGGTACTCCAGACTGAAACTCCAGACTGACACGTGGGTTTAATCTGTGATTTCATCACTATTTTGGTGATTAAGAAATGTCAGGTTGGTAACTCAATCACACTTGAAAAGACACTGAGGGGCTGGCTGCAGTCTGGCCAGGCTCACACATCAGCTGGTAATTATGTGGAGGGGATTATTTCTCGCTCTGGCTCAAAGGCTCTCCCCACTAGAGAGTTCATGAGAGCAGAGTGCGAGAGCACCTGTGACACAGAGCGGTAAGTGCCCTCCACGCTGTTGCTGCCACAAGGCATGCTGGTAACACACTCCAGGCAAGCGCTCCACACTACCTACCAGGTCTGCTTCATCTTCACATCCTGGGGAGACACATACTTGGGTCTGCGGCAAACCTTTCTGACAGTGCCGTAGACCAGGTTTTTCTGAACAAAGGCTGAAAGAAATATAGCCGATGAAGAAACAGACATATGTAGACACACACATGCACATGGCAATGTTTTATAAACACAAATTAACTGAGCTGGAAAGTTAACCCAAATGTGTAAAGTCCATAATCAGTCTTAAAAATAAGGCAGCTTTACACATTTCAAATATTCATAAAGAAAACAGGTATCCTTAGGAGGCTTGGTGTAATGAATAGAGGAATGATTAGCAATTGACATATCAATTATACACAAGTGCTTTTAAATTGTTCCTTCTAATCTTATTTAAGTTATTATTTTGTTTAGCAATGTTTCCCAGCTTGGAGATAAAAAAAAACTCAGTCCAGCCTGAGACCAAATTACCACGTCTGGTGAGTTAGTGGTGCTTGGGGCTGATACAGTAATTTTATTCTTACGATTTTTTTAGTTAGAGTAAACTGACTCTATAGCAGTATTTTTATCACCCTTTAAACCCACATCATCTTTCATGAACACAACTCTGGCTACCTCACCCCCAAGAAACTCATGCTCACTCGGTGGCACAGGGAGTGGAGTGGGATGGGGAAGATGGGACTGCCCCTTGAGTCAACAAGTGACGAGTACCTAGCAATGAAGCCACACGGTCCTACCCATGTGGAAATCCTAGCAGTCCTAATTTCCTCTTAGGAAAAATTATTTTCGGGCTGGGGATTTAGCTCAGCGGCATAAGCGCCTGCCTTGCAAGCAGACAGTCGTGAGTTCAATCCCGGGCACCGATAAAAAGGAAAAAGACAAAAAAAAAAGGAAAAATTATTTTCATTTTAAGAACACTTTATGGTAAAATTATAAATGTCTGGGATTTACCTTACAAGCCTGGAGCATGTGTGTAATAACCTGAGCGTGTGCCTCTCACACTGCAGCCACCCACATCCCCATTCACAAGCTCTATAACCCCCTCTACTCCCCCGACCAGCCTGCCACTTCAGGCTGCTCATCAGCACAGTCTGATGCGTTTTATTTGAGACAGAATCTCACTATGCAGCCTAGGCTGGCCTCCAACTCACAGCAATCCTTCTGCCTCAGCCTCTCGAGTGCTGGGGTCACAGACTGGCTAATGTGTCCTTCTCCTCTTCACAGGCAGTGAGGCCTCCACTCTAGTTTGTCCCTGCAGGGGACACACTGGACTATGTCTCAAAATAGGCCCTGAGACTAGGGATTCTGCCTGTCTAAGCCAGCAAAAGAGTGTCAGCATTCTGCCTCCGAGAGGATGGCTTTTGTCTTGAGCGAATCTTTGATGACAAGAATCCCTGAGGACTGAGCCAAGTGTCCCAAACCTACAGACAAGGCACTTGGGCATGTCCTAAGTGTGTGTGGCAGAGTTTGGTCTGAGAGTTGCTTTTGTTACATGTAGCTGTGAGATTGTGAGGATAAAAACCAACTATCTCAGACATCTTTTGTGGATACAAGCACCAACCAAAACGAAAAGAAAAGTGCCCTCTCCCCCAGGCTGGGCCTGGCTGCAGCGAGCACGTGCTTTCTAACTGCCTGTGTGTGCTCATCCCTCCCCTTGTCCCAAAGTCTGTTCCATCCCCAGGGGTGAGCTGAGGTTGAGAATGGCACTGGTTGCACCTGACATTTCTGTTTATGTTTTGATACTTTCTAGGTATCTTAAAGAAGTATCTCTAACTGGTCAGAAGACAGATGAGTGACAGGGATGTGGACCCAGGGTTTGGAGTGGTCCTCAGTGGTTCCATCTTCTATACTGTGCCCTTCGGTGCACTCATGTCTATCAGCCATGTCACCTACACTACACACTGCTATGCACTTCGAGAGCATAAGGAACTCCAGGGTGTGCAGCATGGGCAGGGAGCCTCCCCTGTACCAAACCACCAGTGGTACAAATCAAACCAACAAGCCAGAGCAGCAAGCAGGCAAAGCAATATTAGCGTGGTTCCCCAGAGACCCTTCACTGCCCTCTGACAGAAGGAAGATTCAGAAACAGCGAGAGCAGAACACTGTGTTGTAAGCAAGGCCCTCCCAGCCCCTTACACAATGCTGGGCACTCAAGGCTCAGAGTCTGAAAGGGAAACGCAGGCAAAACTGAACTCAACAGAGCTGGTCTGATACTTCTGGGGAAATGGCTTAACAGAACCCCCAGCAGAACTAAAACATAAAGGCTCACAGTTCCGCTGCTGAAGAACTGGCCAAAGGGTGTTCGGCCTCTTGTCAATAAAGGCAGCTGGAACAAACCATGTGAGTTCCCGGTCAGGACACTGCCAAGGTCAATGGTGCCCACAGACAGATAGTAGCAACACTGTCACACCCACAGAGACGAGGCAGACACTACACAACAGGGACTGAGTGAGGTTAACTCCTGGACCAGAAAGAGTCTCCTGGCCCTGGGAACAGCTGCATTCACTGATCCTCTGTGCCCAGGCTTCAGCTCCTGCCCTTTCTCCTCATATCCTCCACGCACAGCTTCTCAGCCCTACGGGGACAGCACCTTGGGTTGACAGGCCTGTCCCTGCTTCTGGATAGACACACCCTCCTTTCTTTCCTGTGCATCCCAGGTCCTCAGGTTAAACGAAGGGAGCTGCCAGGGGGGCTAGAAGTACCTTTGAAGTCTAATGTGTAGCTGTGCTTTCCGGCCTGGAACTTCAGAACAGTCGTCTGGGCATCGGCTCCCGGGGTACAGAAAGCCAGGTAGGCCTTCTCCACATCGCTGCTGCTGATGGTGGTCACAGGGTGCACTGTGCCCTACAAGGGGAAAGCCAGAGACATCGTGATGGTGAGGAGACCCCAGTGGTATCTGTGCGACTTCAAGCACAGCCACACAGACAGTCCCGTCGTGGGGAGGAGAAAGGTACCAGGGGGCAGGGAGCAGCAGGAGAGGGAGACACAGAAGCTAAGTGACCCAACTCTCCTGAAAGCTGTCCTGTAAAGAGAAGACAGTAAGTATGGGCCCTCCCAAGCATGGCGACAGGGTGGGACCAATGGAAAGGAGGCACTGAAGTTCCTCTGAATGTACGGCACAGTCACTAGGATAGCAGCCAGGCACCAACAGTAAGTTCTCTGCAGCCACTTTCCTCATCAGCAGAGAAGGCCGCCTCTTGGCCTCTGCTCTTGTTCCCACCATCCTTTCACCAGACTTCCCTCCTCCGCTACACAGTTTTCTGTTTCATGCCCCAGGAATTTTCAGTTGTCTCCTTCCTCACCCTCCCTATAGTTACCCCTCGGATGGCGAATATCAGGGCTGGACTGAATGATTTCTAGCTCCCTGCTAGGGCCTGGATGTAGGATGTCCACTAAGGATCCACGCTCTGATGTGGCCGGTCACAGTGGACACATCATTGGTTGTGCAGGATGACACAAAAGAAACATCTACAAGTAAAACTGACCCAGCTTTTAAGTGAACACAGTAACTTCTTTAAAAATAAAGAAGTTGGTTTGCCATTAAAGGACTTACCAAGAGGTATTCTAACAGGCTAGGAGGCTGGAAAATGAAATAGAAAAGATAACAGAAGAAACTCACTGCAAAGCAGCTGAGTGTGGAACAGGAGAGGATTCTACTCTGGAGGCTTGGTCCCCAAGATGGCCTGTTAAGAGGGTTGGATCCTTTAAAAGGTGGGGCCAAGAAGGTAATGCAAGAGCCCTGGAGCACTGCCTTCAGAAAGGGTGGAAGATGGTTTTGCAGAGTGATAGGTCTGTCTCAAGAGTGGGTGTCCGAAAGCAAGCCCACCCATGCCCTTGGCCTCTTCTGCAAATGACTTAGACCCTTCACCACGGTGAACCCATCCAAGAGCTCTCACCCGAGGCCAAACAGATGGGGTTATCTGATCATGCCTCCTGTGGGCTAAATAAACCTCTTTTCTTTATAAAGGGCCCTACTTTGTTTTGTTACATCAACAGAAAATGGAATACTACACTCCCAAACTTGCTGACTCTATCCTTGGTTATCTCAAGTATACAGCAGAAATAATTATCACACTCAGATACACGCACCATTATACATCAGGAATGCACTACCCTCATGGATTTGAGAAATCATTAAAACAAGGCATGCAGAGCCTTCAGCACACTGCCTGGAAAACCACACTCAGTAACAGTTACCTATCATCACCACAGCTGACACCCACCAGTGACTAGAAATAAAGGCAGTACACGGTAACTTCCCCGTACCGGTAAATTTTCCTATGTCCCCTCTGCTACCATCCTACTCCTCTTAGATCACAGGTTCCAGGCTTCATGGATACAACTGTAAGTGCAAGAGGGGTGGGATGGGATGAGTGTACAATTTCTGACAGGCTCCATTTTGGGTTCTTGTATTGGTGCCCTAAATTTCCCTTTCTGACTCTTCCAAACTCTGTCATTAGACTTGAGTAGGGAAGGAACAGGAGGAACAGGAGGTGGCATAAAAAATCCTTCCAGACAGTAAGAGAAAACCTCCATTTTGGTCCAAGGAAATGATGCAAGATGTTAAGAGGAACAGAAAGAAGAGACAAGCAGACACACACATCAAGCCCCAGTCTTTAAAGTCAGACTCTCCCAAGATAGCTTGCCACAGGGAGGGAAGAGATGCAGATGGCTGAACAGAAAGCAAAAAGCAAAGTTTTCCACCCCCAAGTGGGTCTGGGAGGAGAATTCAAGAGCTAAGCTGAAGAAGGCCCATTTGTAGTTCTCAGGGACACCAGTGAGAAGCAAAAGGACTGAGAGCTCCTCCCGTGTGTCCTGAGAGAGGCCCTGCAGGGATCTGAATCAGACACAAAATTCTGGAGTGCGTCTTGAACTTGGATAAGAACCTACCTTTTCTGAGAATCAAGAGAAAACTGGCTTGAAATGGTAATTAGCAAAAAACTAAGGAAGACACAAAAACAACAACAAAAAGAGGCTGCCCAGAAACATGAGGGAAGGAGGACAAGAACAGACAAAACATCCGAGGCTGTTCCACTAATGGTACAAAGCAGAATGAACTTACAGCCTGAAGCCACCAAGTCCACACCTGAGTCTTCACACCCTCACACCCCAGCACAGGAGCTACCAATGCATCAGTACAACCACAGCGCCTGGTCTCCAGGGATTCTGGAACTGTCCTCTGCTGGTTTATGCATTGAGTCAAGGAAGAAGAACAAGGAAAAGGAAACTCCCAAGTGTAAAGGAGTTCCCACCTCCCAAGCTGTGAACAATCAGTCCGCGCAGGGGACCCATGTTTACATGGGTCACTCCCTAGTTGTGTCATCCCATACACCAACCAGGGGTTGTCCCTATCTCCCCCGAGAAGCTAGATCATTCATCAAACAAAATATAAATGATAGCACTCCTGTAATCCCAGCACTTGGAAGGCTGAGACAGGAGAACTGTTTGCAAGTTCAAGACCAGCCTGGACTTCAGAGTGAGCCCAAGGCCAGCCTGAACTGCAGAGTAAGACCCTGTATCAAAAAGCCAAAAAAAAAAAAAAAGTGTGTGTGTGTGTGTGTGTGTGTGTGTGTGTCTGCACACTTCACTAAGTGATTCTGGCCAGCCACAAGTCCTAACATCTCGTCACCAGATAAGCTGGACGGCACATGATCGGCTAGCAGGCCTCTCCTTCTTCACAGCCCCAGCCTCTGCCCTCATGCTCCTGACCAGACCTGGGGAAGCAATGTCTCTCTAGACTACAAAAACACCCCTGAGAGTGACCAGTTCTGGCTGACCTGCAGATTCAGGGAGCAATACCTTCTCCTTCTGTGCCAGGGCACCTGATCAGCCTAGGTATGGCAACAGAGAAAGCTCCCTGTCCTCCTAGAGCTTACACCCAGGTATGGCCAGAGAAAAGGCCATTCCAAGTACAAGTAAAAACAAGAAACCAAGTGCAATTAACAAGAGATCAGTGCTGTAACGCAGTTTCTCATAAGGTAGAGGATCAAGGAGGATCAGGCCTTATAGTCAAGAGAGAGGCCCCTAACCTTACACTTCTGCAAATGATCAGGGACTCCCTTTACCCTCATCCACCTGAAACACCTCCTCACTGATAGCAGCCACTATTTGACCAGGACTCCAGATCAATTCCTGGCAGGATTCAATTTTCTTTTCTTGCCTACTTTGAGAAAGGTGCAGAAACAGGCAAGGAAAAAGCAAGTTGAAAACTTAAACTTTATACCACAGCTACCCAAACACACCTAGGCTAATGTATCTTCCTATCTCCCTCAACAAAATAAATGAACAAAGTTGATTTCACTCCAATTGTTTGCCATTCAGTTCTCTGGAGACAAGAGAAGCCCAAATGTTCATGAGGGAAATTCACATAAACAAACTCCTAATCACCTTACTCTACAAGGAGTCCCCAAACCGGAGCAGACCTGGGATCTGGGGGCCTTGCTCCATCAAGGACAGCCTCAGAACCCCTGTGCTCGTGTCTGGAGCAGTTGCTCCCTCCTGGACCACACACTCGCCCTCTCCCTTCACACTTACTTGTTTTCCATATTCCTGCCAAGAACCAAACTCATCGATCCAATACCATGCCCAGTCAGTTGTGAGGATGAAGTAGGGAGGTTTGGTGACTGAGGAGGCTGTGGAGAGGCGGCGAGCCTGGGCAGTGCCGAACATCATGGAGTTAAAATGCAGGGTATCAGTGCGGCCACGACCAGATGACTCAGCACACGTTATCCTATAAAAGAAAACGCAGGGCAAACTAAAAACTCTATGTCTGACCTTCAAAAGCATCCCTCAGCTTCTGCCCCCGGGGACACACGGTGGTAGATGAAATAATGAGTCACACCCATTGTTCACAACTGTTTCCAGAGATGGGGAAAATTGTTTTAAACAGCAGTTCTATTGGGGCTGGGGATTTAGCTCAGCGGCATAAGGGCCTGCCTTGCAAGCAGACAGTCGTGAGTTCGATCCCCGGTACCAATAAAAAAGAAAAATACAAAAAAAAAAAAAAAAAAAAAAAGAGCAGTTCTATTATGCGAAAATAAAATCAGATTATAAAAGATGACAAGTTTTCATGAAAACTGCTCATATTACAGAACAAAAACGCTGGTTAAGATATTCTTTTTCCAAATGCATTGAGAGACTGGGAGCGTAGAATACTTGCCTAGTATGTGGGAGACCCTAGGTCCAACCCCCAGCACCATGAAGGAAAAAAATAAATAATAAAATGTCCAGCCAAGCTGGGAACAAGAGAAATCCTTGGAAAGTAAAAGAACTATAGTGAGGTTGAGGATTTAGCCCAGTGGTGTAAGCGCCTTGCTGGCAAGCACAAGGTTATGAGTTCAATTCCTGGTACAAAAAAAAAAAAAAAATGACAAAAAACTATAGTTGGGGCTGGGGATTTAGCTCAGCGGCATAAGCACCTGCCTTGCAAGTGTGCAGTCATGAGTTCGATCCCTGGTACTGATAAAAACGAAAAAGACAAAAAAAAAAAAAAAACTATAGTTAACACAAACTGACCATCCACTGTGTGAGACAGACCCTCAGTAGGTTACATCTTCACAACCCTCAGCGGTGAGGCTAAGATCCCCACATCACAGGTAAGAGACAAGAGAATTTCCATAATGTTTCTTGAACACAAGCTGAAAATCAAAACACGTGGAAGCAAGACACCCGAGAAAAATGTAGTTGACAAAACAACCAGACCATGAAAGGCTACACACTAGCATTCTCATATCCAAATTCATATGAGTTTCTAAAGAGTAAAATGGCCAAGAAGAACCAAGACAATTTGAAGGGAAAAAAGGGCTTTGCCTTGGAGACGCCAGAACTTCCCACCAAAGCTCTACCCAGCAGGACACTGTGCTGTGAACACACAGATGGCCAGACCCTGCCCAGCAGCCAGAACACACTCACGTGCACTTGCCACCCTGGTGCACGCTGCAGTTTAATTTACCTCCTATTTAATAGGCAGAAGTAGAGAGAACTTCTCAAAGTAAAGAGATAAAAACATAGCTATCTCTACCCCTCAAAATGGGCAAACAGCAGGGATGGACATTTCACAGGTGTGAAAATGGCCAATGGACACGTGGGGAGTATCCTCACAGGCAGCAGGCCAAGGAACCAGGAACTGTCAGTGTCAGACAACAACAATGAGGGGCACATGGCCCCGGAGACACTAGTGAAGGTGAAAGGGTACAATCACCCTGCAGAGCAGCCTGGCGTGCCCTGACAGAGCTGAGGATGGGCACAGCCCACCAGCAAGCTGCTCCCCAAAGAAGTCCATCCCTAGAAACTCCAAGGCGTGCACAGGAGGCCAGACACATGACCCTATGTGTGTGCTTCTGTTTACAAGAGCTGCCAGAACCTGCAAGGCTAATCCACACAAGCAAAGTCAGAACTGTGAGGGGCTGGAGTGACTGGGAGGGACACAAGCGCTTCCGGAGTGACGAAACACCTTTCATCACTATCAAAGTGTGGGCAACATGACTGTATGTGCTAGTCAAAGCTCACTGAGCTTCACACTTAATATGTGTGCACACTGGTGTGTGTAAATTTCATCTCAGAGACAAAGATTATGGGTGGTATGTGAGCCATTTAACCCTTCCTAGGGGAATAACTTGTTTCACATACTTAGCCAACTGCAATTTGCAAATGATTCATTCCAAGTTCCAAGTTACTCTACACATTCAAATGGAAACATACTACAGCAAGTTTAACCCAAGATATGGTAAGTATTTGAAAATCAGGTTACCTACTACTTCCCTATTTACTCTATACTAAGTGCAAACACTAGGATACACTTGTGTTAATAAACAATAAAAGGTGAGCTGTATAATTTTACAGAAGAGGCTAAACCTTCAAAAATTACCACCTCCTGCTCTTCTGCAATAAATGAGTAAATAAAATATGATCAATCTAAATAGCAAATAATTAAGAACTCACTTGCTCAGCACCACCTCCCAGCTATTCTCTGACAGTAGGTAAATACAGTCACCAAACTGCCAATGTGAACCGATCCTTTGACTTCTGCCTAATGTTCACCTCTAACAAGGCTACACATGCGTGTGACCACATATGCGTGTGTGCATGCATGTGTGCAGGTGATCTGTTAAGGCCACCAAAAAAATCCTTGCTGTTTACACTTCCCACACTTACACACACAAGCCTGGACATGAGCAGCAATCTTACCTGTCTCTTCCGGGGTTGCTATAGGCCTCTTCAATCAGCTCCATCTTGTCCAAATCCTTCCACTTGCCACCATCCAGGAACTGCCATCGATAAGGCAAATGGAAATGAACTCTGTGGCACTTGTCTGAAACAAAAATGTAAAGTGGTAACAGAGCTGGCCGACACAGCAGTGTGGCCTGTGGCTGTCAGCGAGCGCCGGTGCACCCTCTGGCCTCAGGGCCATCTGGAAGTCCTGAGGAGTCTGTTTTCTTAGTGCAGTCACACATGAGCATTTAGAGACTGAAACACAGGGTATCTTACTATACACACCTTACTTTTTATCTCCCTTATTAGTAGGACTTAATGCTGAGGACTGGGTATACAGCTCAGTAGCACAGCACCTGCCTGGCAAGGGTGAGCTCCTGGGTCCAAATCCCATTACCAAACAAGCCATCTCAAAATCAAAAGGACTGAGGATGCATCTCAGTGAGAAAGCCCTGAGTTTATCTCAGTACTACAAAGCAAGGTTTAGAACATGGCAAATCTATAGTAAGAGACAAATCTGCCACCGGGAAGTGGGTGGGGTAGGAATGACTGTAGGCGGTATACTTTATACATGTACCAATGTTGCCTATGATGGTCCATGCACAAGACTGTGACTGTACTAAAACTATTACAAGTGAACTACACAGTATGTGACATACTCAGCATTTTAATAAAGCTATAATATAAAAACAGGCAAAAGATTTGAAGACATATTTCACAGAAGATAAACAAATGTCCAATAAGCATATGAAAATAAATGTTAAAAGTCATTAATCATCAAACAAATCAAATTAAAACCACAACGCAACACTACTACTCACTTATCAGACTGGCTAAAATTTAAAGGACTGCCAGTACCATGTGTTGACAAGGATGTAGAGCAAATGCAACTGTCACAAAGTGCTGCGGCAACGTAAAATATTGTTCCCACTTCACAAGACACATTCATAAGTGCAGGGTCATGAACTTGATTTCCAGTACAGAAAAAGAAATACATTGACAGTTTCTCATAAAATGAAGCATAAGTCACATGATCTAGAAATTCCACACCCAGGTCTACCCAGCAGAACTGAAAACATATCTACTTTTTTTTGAAAAAAAATTTTTTTATACTGGGAAGTGAACTCAGGACCTTGCACTGGCCAGGCAGGCGCTTGTGCTACTGAGCTAAATCTCTGGCCCTGCACAGGAATATTACAGAAACTTTATTTACAAAAGCCAAAAAATGAGAACAACCCAAATGCCTGCCAATGTGAACAGATAAACAAACTGCAATCAATCCAAGCAATGGATTACTACTCAGCAATAAAAAGAAAAACTGTTAACTTGCTAGGATGGTTGAATTTCAAGAGCATGCTTTTGTAAACAAAGTGCCAGGCATGATGGCACATACTTATAATCCCAGCACTCTGGGAGGCTGAAGTAAGAAGACTACAACTGCAAGCCCAGCCTGCACAACACAGCAAAACCCTGTTTCAAAATAAAAAATAAAACAGAGCACAGGATGTAGCTCACGGCAAAATTACAACCTCATCAACAAGTTAATTCACTGATAAGGCTAGCACCCTATGAACCAAACACTGCAAAAGCCCCCACCTCTGAACATAAGACTTTGGGGGAATAGTTAGATCAAAACCATAACAAAGGTAACATGTACCATATGATTTCATTTACATGCAGTTCTAGAAAAGACAATCTACAGTGATAAAAAGTAGATCAAGACTTTCTGGAGCTGGTGACTTGAGAGGGTAAGTATGCATTATTAAAGGAGGCTTCATTCAGGAATGCAGGACTATTCCTTATGTTGATCACTGTACCTGGGCATATACACTCATCAAAATCCACACCCATGCATTTTGTGTGGACACACTTTACTGTGTAAATTATGTCTCAATAATATTGTTTTTAAAACAGAAATATACAGAATGAACAGGCTTGCATGCTCATGTGCTGTGAGTGAATACTAGGTGGCTGTTCTAAAGATGGATTTACATATAGAAAACATCTCCACAACACAAAGTTAACTATATAAACTGAGTAATACCTTATCACGATTCCATTTGTTTAAAATCAATAAAACAACCACACAGCACATGTTTACCTTTGGGGAGGGACAGAGGAGGATGTCCTGCTTTACTTTGTATTACTTGACTCATAAAATGAAACCAGTCATAAACTGCTTGTGTGACTTTTAAAGACTAAAAATGAACAGGAAGTTTTGGTGGCTGTTTTTTAAGGGGAGCCACCGAATCTAAGAGGACTCTTCAGTCACAGGCCAGGTTAGCAACTAAGAAAAAAGGAAGACTGAGTGAAAATACAGACACATGGAGACCTGCTACCACTGATAAATAGGACTGTAACCTTCACTGAATCAAAACAGAAGGAGCCCTCAGCTTCACCAATCCTCCAAGAGCTAACACAGGTCTCCACCTCAGTGAGGTCACTCTCAGTTTCTAAGGCTCTTCTAGGCCTATAGTCACTCTTTATTTATTTGTTTATATTTGTCTTTTTGAGACAGGGTCTCACTATACAGTTCAGGCTGGCCTTGAGTTCATTTTATAGCCCAGGCTGGTCTTGATCTTGCAATGATCCATTTGCCTCAACCTCCCAGGTGCTGGGAATACAGTGACACATAGCACGGTTCCAACTGGACTGAGTATCCCCATTTTATGCAGGCTGTTACCATCTGAGAAGATGACCAAGGGGCAACACATGATACTCATTTGTACAGATTCAAATCATTACTTTCTCCCAAATTCAGCGACAGTTTAACTTTTAGAAATTCAGAGAATTCTACCATCCTCAACTCCCCAACATAACAGCTTCAAAACTGCTTCAGTCAAAGTGGCAGCCTCCCCCCAGGGGTGCCTTGTAGCAGAATTCTAAGAATAAGAAGCAGTCACCTCTCCCAAGGAATGGGGAGACAGGCCCAGCCCCACCTACCTTGAAAGCCACAGCTTTTCCGGATGTGATACAAGCAGATCTGATCACTCTCCTCCTGGCTAGGAGTGTTTGGGGACACAGAAGTCAAGCTGTCTCTTCTTTCTACAAAGAAACACCACAGAAAACAGAAGTTTCTGATACAGGGTGGCAGTTGCTCAAAGTATAAGGAGAATTCATTCGTTGCTCTGCAAAGACACAGCCAAGCAAGCTGGAAGATCACTCTGTTGGAGAGGAAAGTACTGTAAACGTGCAGGTGGGCACTCCTAGGGAGTAGCCAAAACCCAGTCATACGACTGCTTACTAATCCAGGATGCCATGGAGAGGGTCTTTCCTCAACTGCGGCTGTCTACCCAAGTCAACAGGAGAGGGCAAGTGGAAGGCTATTCTTTATAACTCAGACCTGAATCTGTGTAACAAATACAATATTGGTTAATAAACCCTTAGAATTGGGTACTAAGGGCTACGGATATGGCTCAGCAGCACAGAGCCTGCCTGACAAAGTGTGAGGTCCTGAGTTCAATTCCTGGAACCAAAAAATAATAATAAAAGAATTAGGTAGCCAAGAAAAAGCTAATACATGAAAAGCTTACATCTCTAATGAAACCTCATTAATTTCAAGTTGCTTATAAGGTTCTTAACATAAAAAGGGCAAAGTTTACCTTTCCTGCATCACTCCCATGAACCTTTACCTATTACATTTACCCCACCCAAGGTCCCCTAAATAAGCATACAAGAGGCAGTCACAAACCTCTACTTACAATATCAAAAGTCATTGTATTGGGGCTGAGAATTTAGCTCAGCGGCATAAGCACCTGCCTTGCAAGCAGGTGGTCGTGAGAGTTCGATCCCTGGTAGCGATAAAAATGAAAAAGACAAAAAAAAAAAAAAGTCATTGTATTACGTATCCCTCTTTCATTTTCTTTTGACAAGCCCCTCAGATGCTCCATGGGTTTAAGCTTCAAAACCCAAACTCAACCTGGAGACCCTGAATGTCACTTTCCTCTCCCCAAGGCAAGACTACTCTAGGGATTCAAACCCCTTTCAGCATAGGTTCTCCACTTCTTTCTTAACAAGATCCTGACCCAACTAGAAACTTCTAAACATCGAAAGCAAAATCAGTCTACTTCTGGGAGTTGAAAAATATCAATATAGGAGCTGGGGATTTAGCTCAGCAGCATAAGCACCTGCCTTGCAAGCAGGCAGTCATGAGTTCGATCCCTGATACCGATAAAAAAAACTGTTAAGAAAAAAAAAGATCAACATAAAAATGACTGATGAAAAATGTAAAGAAAAAAACAGAGCAAGTAAGCACTTTTTTCTTTTTTTGGAGAGGTTCTCATTATGTAGTATAGGCTGGCCTCAAACTCATAGTGATCCTCCTGCCTCAGCCTCCCAAGTTCTGGGGTTACAAGCATGGTCACCATGTCCAGCAAGGTCAATTTTTAGATGTAAAACTCAGGTTAGATTAGAGTGATAAATGTGTTTGTTTGTAATTCTGGCCATCACTCGGTATTTCAGAAACTGGTCCACTGAAATTGTAGCCATCTCAACAGCCAAACGAACGGGCCTAATGCTGTAGTCAGACGGCAGACCCCAGAAGGTGTGTCTCACAGTCTAACATACTCATTCATTCAACCAATGTTAAGTGGTTACTACAAAGTAGGCACTGTCCAGGAAGGAGAAAAGAGCAGAGACCAACAATTCACAATGAGGAAAAGAATGCCATTTATTTACCTCAGGAAGATGACCAAGACCAAATTTGCCTCTCTCAATTGTTTTGTAAACTCAAAACAGACTACAAAGCAAACTATGGGTTCCTTGCTAACAGGCAAGTCCACAGGTAGGTGGCAAGGGGGACAACTGCACAGGAGACGATGTAAGGCTCCCACTTCAGGACAGAATAGGGCTCTCTAGAGTTCAGCCCCATCCACACCAACTCGCACTGTCTAAACATCTTGTTTAATCACATCTTAAGAGTTCAACTTACATCAAAACTCCCCTCCCTTGGAAAGGATCATCAACTCTATTTTATTGCAGGGAAAAAACCCAGATTCACTCCAAAACCCTCATTCTATTTACTCTGCTACCCAGAATAATCTACACCCTTCACCACCACCCAGGCCTGAAGCATTTCCCACCAGCCTTACCAGAAATCCGCTGAGGGGCTGCAGGAGGAGGGAGCACTTTGGCGGGGGTAGAGCTCTCATTCTTGATGTCGTATGCATTTCTATAGATGGAAGGCAGCCTGCTGACCAGGTCTGAGCTCATGCCCAACCGCTCCAACTTCTCCAGGTTCTCAGGGCTGGAGAAATCATGGCGTCTCTTACAGCTAATACCAAACTTGCACTCCCCCTGTAGGAAGTACTGGCAGATATGAAGTTTGATGCACTGCTTTTGAAAGGAACAGCCGCCAAAGGGCCCATCTCCTTTGTTGTAATGTAGGCAGACCTGGTGATAGCAAAGTAAAAAGACTTTAGCCTGGGAAGGCACCCCCCATACACCTCCTGCCAACCCCGTGACTGGTAAGAAGTGGCCTCACAGCCAAGGTATGACTTCACTGTCTACATGGGAACAGATAGGACACTTCTCACTCAAGGTGACAGCTTCTCCCCCATCAACTGAGACCTGCAACCCAACACCATGCTTCTAATCACTGCCATGCTGGTGCTACATGGCATGTCTCATCCTCTCAGCTCCGTAACACTTGCAGCTGCAGGTGCTGACCCAAAAGGCTCCCCTAATCTCACAGAAGCCCTGCAAAGGAGGTACCAGCCCAACTGACGGGACCAGAAAAGAGGTGCAAGGTAGGTCCAAGGTCATAGGCCTAAAAATTAGCAGTCAGAAATCCAATCCAAATCTCTCTTCCTGGTTGTTAGTCAAGCTAGGGTTCTTGGTTTCTCTTTAGCAATATTTCTCCATCTTCCAACCTTGTGGCTGCTTCCTTTACACACTGGGAAATGCCACCCTTCCCCCACACTCACTTCTGGCAAAAGCACAGGGTCATTCTGAAACAAGAGTTGGCACAGCTCGCTATAGTTGAGGTGGTCAACGCCATTAGTTCTCAGCACACTCAGGTTGTGATCAGTCATTAAGCTGTGATTGTTCCTACAGTTCTTCCTGCGAAGAGATGGTGTTATATGCCAGAGCAGTCTCCCAAAATTCCTATGTCGTAACAATGAAGCTATATTTGTAGGCACAGCTTGAAAGAGGAAATTAAGTTAAAGGAGGCAGCAGAGATGTGAATACAGTCACAAGAAGGTGACTTTCTGTAAGCCAAAGAGAACAGGCTCGGAGGAAAGCAACCTGCCAATACCTCAGACTCCAGTCTCCAGAATTGTTAGAAAATAAATTACTGATGTTTAAGCCACCTGGCCAGTGATACTTTGTCACAGTAGCCCTAGCAGCTGATTCGATCACTCTTGGAGACAGCCTTTAGGGAATACCTTCTTTTTTTTTTTTAATCAGTACCGGGGATCCAACCCACGACTGCCTGCTTGCAAGGCAGGCGCTTATGCCGCTGAGCTAAATCTCCAGCCCCAGGGAATACTTTCTTACAGTGCTCACAATCATGTGGAAGCCCAGCATGCTTATGCAATGAAAGCATAACACAAGGCCAGGCATGGTGGCTCCTGCTTGTAATCCCAGCACTCAGGAAGCTGAGGCAGGAAAATCACTGTGAGTTCCAGGCCAGCCTGAGCTACAAGGTGAGATCACGGGCAGCCTGAACTACGTAGTGAAACCCTGTCGCAAAAAGACAAAAAACAAGAAAAAGAAAGCAAGCTTAATGCTTACTTGTTGAAAACAGATGGAACCGTGTAACATCTAAGGCCAATGACAACAGCTCTCTGAGAACATTTGGGCATACCTACTCACCCCTAACTCATGAAAGGCTTGGTCAAGAAAGACCCTGTGTTGTAAACCAGGAAAAAGAGAATGAAGAGAAGAATGAGGAAAAAACTCTTAGTCCCTTAGGCCAGTAAATGTCAGATGACCAATTCCTAAAACATCAAACTGGCCCAAACTTCGGGAAAGTAAAAGAATGGGCCATTATCTTTATTCTACCAAACAGGTTCATTAAAGGATTCACCAGGGATTCCCATCTGGAACTGTCCAGCTCCCACTCCTTGTGTGCCTTCCCCTTCTTGGGTTGCTCTTTGTACCCTCAGGGCTCCACTCTGCCCTCTCCTTCTTAAGACCTGATCTTCTCCGGATGCTGGGCCCACAGCCTTCCTCACTCAACATCTCCCTTACAGACGCATCAGGTGCCCAGCCTCACTCCAGGCTTCAGAAATAAAACACTCTCCTGCTCTCTCAGTCCACAGCAGAAGCAGAAGCAGAAGTAGAAGCAGAAACCTGATGGTCATCATATGTCCCAAAGGCTCTCCACACCATCATCAACACAACTTCCCCAAATTTCTCATACACATATTTCTTGGAAAAGTCAGGCTAACTGGCTTTGGAGACAGCTGTTCTAAAGACCAACCCACCTGTATCTGGCTTGGGTTATGAGATAACCTCCAGTCAACTGATGTAAATGGAAGGATGGTCTCCAATTCTGATCAGGACCACAAAAACCTTCCACTCAACCCTCTGCTCTCCCCTTCTGCCATCTACGGGACTCCATACCTAGAACAGCCTTAAGAGCCACTGCTGAAGAGGGCAGAGTAGGTCAATCAGCTTGGATCCCTGAATGACTGCAAGGATCAAGGCTCCTCTTCCAGGCTATGAGACCTAAGTAGAGTGAAAAGTGGTGCCTACTATGTTAAGACAAAAGAAAAAAAACGGGAGGGGGAGAAGAGAGGATGGGAAGGAAAGGAAGGGAGAAAGAATGAACAAAAGAAAATAGGGGGAAATTCTTGCTTAACTGGACTAGCTTCAAAGCAGGTCCCCATGCCATCCTCTAATTCAGCATCCACAGCACTAGCTAACACCACTTCCTAAAAGGCTGACTTGATGGCTGCATCTCCTGCCATTGGGTGGGCCTCCTCACTTTCAAGAGTTCCAAATTCTTCAGCAGAAACCTCAGCAATCTACCGAGCCTGTTCTCCTATGCGGAGTCTTAATTCTCTGAATCTTAGGATGTGATTACATTTGGAGATAGGGTTTGAAAAAAGAAAGCAAGTGAGAACGAGGTCATCAGGGTCAGCCCTAATCCAACATGACTGGTGTCCTTAGAAGATCAGATCAGGTCAGGGACACATAACGGAAAAACCATAGGAGGATACAGTGAGCCTGAGCCTGTTCTCTTTGGCTCACACTGACCGCCTGCTATGCACAGAGATGATGGGAAGCCAGCCGAGCAGGGAGCTGCACTGAGGGAGTTTACCATCTTGGGAGTTGAGGAGCAAGAGGAGCCCTTTAAGGGACACAAAAGTGAGGTGTGGTGAAGAGAAAGAACAACAGAGCTCAAAAGAACCTGATCTTTGATGTGAGGCTTGAAACATTAATGGCGTACACCAGAAGGGCGCTGCCAGGATAAAGGCTGCCAGGTGAGCAAGGCTGACTAAGCAGGTGAGCTGATTTCTAGATTCCTTCCGGCCACCAGGGAAATCTCTGCTCCACACTGTCTGGACCTCAAAGTTGACTGCCAACCAGGGGCCCTGGAGCTGCCCTGGCCATCACGGCTTCCCTCCCCAGCCCACCCTGCCACCGTAGGGTGGCCCTGCTGGTACCCACACTATCAAAGCCCCTGGGTCCACAAACAGCGTCTCCCGGAGCCTAAAGATTGCTACTTCACCCAGCTCCCTCACTCAGGGAAGATACTGAGGAGGTGCTCAATAAATGTCTGGTGATAGGAATGAAGGTGGCTTCTGCCGGGCCATCTGTCTCCTTGAACTGTGAGGGGCTGAGAATGAGTGGGGGCGCCCTACCCCACCCCTCCTCGCCCGCCTCCTCACCCGGTCCGCAGGAACTTGCAGGCGCCGTAGATCATGAACCTGCACAGATGCAGCTGCGCGCAGAGCCCCGCGCAGCCCGGCTTGGGGCCCAGGTGTGCGCGGCACAGTCGCAGCGGGGACGCGGCCAGCACCACGCGCGCGGACCCCGCCGCGCCGCCCGCGCCCGCGCCCGGCCGCACGGTGACCACGAAGCGCCCGCGCTCCAGCAGCGCCCGCTCCAGCGCGTCGGCGCCCACCCTCGCCTGCACGCGGCGCCGCAGCTCCTCCAGCTCCAGGCCGCCCCCAGCCGCGCACAGGACCTGGGTCACCTCGCCCACCACGGCGGTAGGCGCGGCCATGGCCACTCGACTGTGGGCTCTGGCTCGAGCTCGACGCCGGGGTGCGCGCTGCCTCGCGCCGGGTGGAGTCGCGGCGGGAAACGAAACCGAAAGCCGGGCCCCAAGGAAACAGAAGCCGCGGCCTCGCCACGCCCCCGCGCTCCCAGCTGGGCCGCGCGCCCTTCCGACGAGCGCTCGAGCGCGGCCGCCACGGGGCCGCCCGGGCCGGTGCGGGGCGCCCAGGGGCGCGGGGCCGCTTCCCGCCGGCGGCTCGGGGCTCCGGCGGCCGGGACGACACCCGGGTGCCCACCAAGTCTCCTCGCCGTTACCCTGGCTTCATGGACGGCGAGGGCGCGCGCCGTCCCGGAGCCTGTGGAGTGACCCCAAGCCCAGGGCAGCTGTGTGGCTTCTGCACGGACCGCAGGTCAAACGCAAAGGTTCCTTTTAAAAAGCAAGTGGGTACCTCCTGCCTCTGCCACACAAAAGTCGAATAAATTTTAAAGTCTTAAGAGCAAAGACTGGATTGTGTGCTGTGTGGGTTGTGTTGTGCACTCTGCGGTAAGGAACCGAAGAAGGGTGCTGGAGAGTTCAAAGGCGCCAGACCTGTGGACCACCACCCTCCCACCTCTGCGGTCTCGCTTCCAGAATCTTCCAGAAGCTAAAGGAACAGAAGCCCCTGCCCAGCTGTTGACCCAGCGCGCAGCATGATGACCGTTATGCAGATGAGCTTGCAGCTCTAACAAGAGGCCATTCAGCTCCTTGACCTCGAAGGACACCCCCGTGAGAGTTAAAGGATTGCTATGTAGAAATGTCAGAAGTCTTGATTGTGCTGTCAGCAGCTGGGCTTTATTTTATTTATTTGTTTGTTTTTTATTTATTTTGTACCTGAGATCGAACTCACAACCTAGAGCTTGCCAGGCAGGCACTTAACCACCGAGCTAAATCCTCGGCCCATGCAGCTGGATATTTTTGCCCGAGCCTGGAGGAAATTGTGGAAGGACTGGACACACCGGTTGTAGGAGAGTGAAAAGGAAAGATGAGGGGAGGCGCAGAAAGATGGTGGACATGGTATAACATTAAATGAATGTAAAAGCTTAAGTATAGAAATACTACAAAAATGTCGTTAAAACAGTTGGGGGGCCAGGGATTTAGCTCGGTGTCATCAGCGCCTGCCTGGCAAGCTCTAGGTTGTGAGTTCGATCCCAGGTACCAAAAAAACCCACAAGAGTCTTAATTTCAACTCCCAACATCCCCCGAAAAAGTACAAAATTATTAAATGTGGGGAAGACAAGATAGTAAGTTGGACAAAGGGAAATAATAGGTTGATTTAATTAGAGAATGGCATGGATGCAAGTTTTCTCTTGGATTTTAAATTGTAAATATTTAAGAAGTTGCAACATTTTTTTTTTGAGACAGGGTCTCCCTATGCAGTTCAGGTTGGCCTTGGGCTCACTTTGTAGTCCAGTCTGCAACAATCCTGCCTCAGCCTCCCGAGTGCTGGGATTATAGGAGTGCACCACCATGCCCAGAAAGATAACTTTGCGGGGGGGGGGGGGCGGGTATCGGGGATCGAGCTCACGACCTTCCACTTGCCAGGCAGGCACTTATGCCATTGAGCTAAATCCCCAGCCCAAGATAACATTTTTTTAAAGGAAAGGTGATCTCAGTGAAAATGGTGAGTTAAGGACTTCAGAGTTGGTCTTTTTATAAAAACAATGAAAAAAACTAGCAAAAATCGGCAACTTTTTCAGACCTCTGGAAATTAATCAAAGGCTTACACCAATTGTCTAGCATTTAGTCAAGAAAAATAACTGGGGCCAGAGATATAGTTCAGCAGTATAAGCACTTACCTGGCAAGTGCAGGTCATGAGTTCAATTGCTGGTACCAAAAAGAAAAACAGCTGAATTTTGTTAAGAGTAACAAACCTTATAAGCATTTTCTACTTTTTAATTTTTTTTTTTTTTCTTGAGACAACATTTCACAGTGTATTTCAGGCTGGCCTTGAATTCACTTTGTAGCCCAGACTGACCTTGAACTCAGCAATTCTGCTTTAGCCTAAGATTGCAGGCATGCACCACCACACCTGGCTCTTTAAAAGCATTTTAAGGTACCCTATTTATATCTCCGCTTCTAGTTACATGCAACCTTTATGTAAGCAAGAAATAAAAGTTGTTACATACTAGCAAACTGCTTATTGAGAACATGTACCAAAGTATGCAGAGCCCCTTAGCAAAGACCAGGAGACATACTGATGCCAGCTGTTTACTGAAACCTCCATATACTCCTAGCTAACCACTGTTCTAACCATACTATAGATACACATGTTACAAAATTTGGAAAAATAATTAAATAGCTACTACAACAAGCACAACAACTCTGAAAATGAAAATTTAACTTTGAGAATGCCACATTAATTGAAATGTCCCAATTTTTAGCCAAAATTTATGAATCAATGTAAACAAGTACAACCCATGCAAAGGAAATAAGAGCAATGAATAAAAACAGCACAAGATCTAAGTATTAGACTTTGTAGACATTTAAGTTGGCTATTTTGTACATACTCGAGTGCTAAAGGAAATTCTCCAGTAAACAGGAATTATAAAGAACTGGATAGAAATTCTGAAACCAGAAGTGAAAAAGTGACTAGGGTTCTATAGAAAATTTGAGCAGGCAAAAACAAAACAACAAAACCCCAGCAAATTTGAAGATAGGTTGATTGCAATTATCTTATGTATAGAACAAAAAGAAAAAGAAGCAGTGCTTCAGAGACCTGTGAGACACCAGCAGTTGTACTGACAGACTTATCAAGGAAGTCCTGGAAGAGAACGATAAAGAAAGAACATTTGAAGAAATTACTCTTAAAACTTTCCAAAATTTTTGGGCGTGGTGCTGCTTGCCTGTAATCCCAGCCCTTGGGAGGCTGAGGTAGGAGAGTTACCAGGAGTTTAAGGCCAGCCTAAACTACATAGTGAGACCCTGTCTCGAAAAACTAAAGAAAGATTATCATTTTAAAAAATAAAATTTAAAATTTGATGAAAACGTTAATCTTCACATCAAGAAGTTCAGTGCATACCAAGATAAACTCAAGAAGACCCACACAACACATCATAAACTGATAAAAAGTAAAGAAAATCTCATGCTATAAGCAAGCAGCTCATCATGTATAAAAATCTCAAGTTAACAGCTGGTTTCTTAACAGAAATCATGCATACTAGAAGGTAAGATCTGCTAAAAGAAAAAATACCAACCAAGAATCCTATGTCCAGCAAAACTGTCTTTCAAAAATGAACTAAAGCTGTGAGGGTTAGTAGCTAGCACTGAAATATTAAAGGTATTCTTTTATGCTGAGAGTAAAGGACACTAGTGATTTAAATTCTGATGACACTAAATAGTAATATAAATTCTCTTTTTTTTTTTTTTTTTTTTTTTTTGTCTTTTTCCTTTTTATCGGTACCAGGGATCGAACTCACGACTGCCTGCTTACAAAGCAGGCGCTTATGCCGCTGAGCTAAATCCCCAGCCCCCGTAATATAAATTCTCATGAACTAAATAGTAATTTAAATCCTCATGAATAAACACAAGTAAAAACTACAAGTATACCAGTAAAGGTACCTACATTGCCAGGCATGGTAGTGCATAGCTATAATTCCAGCACTCAGGAGGCTGAGGCAAGAGAATCACTGTGAGCTCAAAGCCAGTCTGGGCGGCAAAATGAGTTCATGGTCAGGCCAAACTGCATGCAAAACCCTGTCTCAAAAAAACAGGGTTGGGGGCTACTTATACACAAAAATGGAATAAGTCTTCATGTAACTTGGTTTGTTACTCCTTCCCTCATCTGACTTAAAATAGAAATACATAAAGTAATAGTTATAAATCATGGGAAAGCATGTTGTGTAATGGAATAAACTGGAAATCAGTAAGAGAATTTAGGAAATTCATGAACATGTAGAAGTTATACAGCATGCTCTTAAGTAACTAGTAAATCAAAGAAGAAATCATGAAGGAAATGGGAAAATATTTTGAGGTGAATGAAAATGAAAAGATTTAAGATCGTGAACACAGTTTTTAGAGGACATTTATAGTTGTCGATTTCTACATGGAGAAGAAATATTTCAAATCAATAACCCAGCATTTCACTTTGGAAACTAGCAAAATAAAAGAAGTAGTAAATATTAGAAATAAACAAAAGAGACTACAAAAAGAATGCACAGCATCAATAAAACAAAAAGTTGATTCTTTGATAATATATTTTTTCTTGACAAACACCTAGACTGACCAAGAAAATATATAGGAGACTAACATTACTAATACCAGGAATAAAAGTGAGCTCTTGTTACAGTGCAGAATGAAAAGAATTAAAAAATTTAATAACCACATTTTTTATTTTCTTTCTTTGATGCTTTGATAACTTGGTTCCTTGGTGACATTAGAAATGACCTTCCCAAGGCTGGCTGATTCCTAGAGATACCAACTCACTTTTTTCTTTAATACAGGGAATTGAACTCAGGATCCTGCGTTTGCAGGCAGGGACTGTGCCACCAAGCTATATCCCTGGCTCAGCAACTCACTTTTGAGCACAGACAAACCAGCCTATCCCAACTCCATACAGCAACCACCACCTTCTGCAGCCTCTGGCACCCTGGGCCATTATCCCTGTCCTAATCACCCCAGGTCCAGGGTTCAGGTCACTAGGAACAGCTCTGTGTATCCCAGGGACACACAGGTTGCTGAAGTCATTCCAGCCAGCCTCTCCTAAGTGTGCTTACCCTGTGCTCTTTACCACAGAAACCACACTAAAGGCTTTTGCCTACATTTCCCCTCTTCCTTCTGCCTTCTGACCTACCTTGGTGCCTCCCTGTGTGGCCCTACGTGCCATGTTGTGCCATCTGTTTCTAGAAATTTGTATTAGAACTTGTTTCCTGATAGCCACACATCTGTGTGTCCTGGCTTACTGATTAAAGTGAATGTTAAACACCCTTTTAAACAGATTATGAAGGGTTTTCTGGTAGAATAGCTAGAGAATGACTATATTTAAGTAGAAATGCCCAACTGGCATCTAGATCTGTGAGTCTGACACTTATAAGAGAGGTCAGTACTGCAGTTGTGAACATACAGATGGTATTTGAATGAACAGGGCTGAGTGAGCCCACCCTTGAGGAAAGTAGAAAACATGAAGGGACAGAGTCCAAAAACCTGCCCAGCTGATAGATAAGATTGATAGAGCTAAGCAGGCTGAGAAGGATCCAGGTTAGTGACACATGCCTATTATTTCCGCACTCAAGAGACTAAAGCAGGAAGATCTTAGTCTCACACACACACACACACACA